AATCCCCATACAGAAAAAGAAAAACACCTGTAGCTAGAAGAGTTTTTTTGTTTTTTTTTTTGCAAGAGGGTAAAAGTGTCCAAATACTACTGAGCTGATAAATTAAGGGTAAAATCTGCCAACTGTCCTTCCCTAAGGAGTTATTACTAAATCTTTGCGTGAGGTGAAAAGTCAAAGGCTTGAGATAAAAAAGATAAATGACATATATCAAACTTCAGATGGAATGGAATGTTGGCAAATATTTAGAAGTAGAACCGAATAGTCCAAGTATAGTGGGGATAAAATCTCTCAGCATTGTGTTCACACAGGACCTCTGAAATGCCAATGGACCTACAGGTAAACCACCATTCTCTACTGGCCTGGTTCAGGTGACAAGGAAGTCCCCAGCATGGCAAACCCTCCTAGGACAGCAATGCTATGGAGATGTGCAGATCCACCTGCTATACTTGGGACAAACTCCTTGCATACCTCAACCACGATAATTTCAGAAAAAAACCCTTTGAAACAAAGGGATCTACAGGTCTGTGAGGTAGGGTTTGTGACTGCAGAGCAACTTGCAAAGCAGAAATTCCCCTCTTTCCCCAAACCACTAGACTTGTCAGAAAAAGTGCTGTCAGTGCAACATGAAGACATATCACCCAGGTATCACTCTTGGCTATCACCCCCACGCAACCTCAAACTTGCAGTGATATACAGATCCCAGTTGCTTCAGGTAAAAATTCTTCAAACTACTCCTTCCATTCCTTTTGAAGCTTTTACATGATAACATGAATTTTTGGGACTCTGAAATGCAGAAGTGTTGCAATAACATCTTTGCCTCTACACTCCCCATGGCTGACCACATGATGGCAAGCACGTACAATACGGCCACTGGATAAAAGTGTCAGAGGCCTTAGAAATAGTTCACATTCTCTGGCCTTCAATTTCATGATCATTATCATAATAAAATGTTTTTTACGTATTCCCTGCACACCTGCTGCATGTCAGTTTCCCATTACTGCAGCTACACCACCACACGCACTGCTCAGACTGACACAATCACCTTCCTTACACCAAACAGATCCTCAGCACTGCTGGCCCTTCACATCAATAGAAAATAAAGTACATAAAGTACTTTGTAAAGAGAGAGGAACGTAGCCCAGGGATGTGGCTCAGGGTTAGATAAAATGAGAACAGTTCTGGAACTCACTGTTATTGAGTATCAGGTCAAAACTCCTGAATGTTTCTGAGGTATTTGTTTTCATCTCTTACCAGCAACTCTTCTTGTGAAACATCAGCAGCAAAACCAAGCCAATAGATGTGCTCTTTGAATTTTGAAGTCATTAGCCATAATTTTCTGCAGGGAGTGGAAAGGACAGATGGGAGGGTGTAGATACAGGATTATGGCCTGACTTCTTTGTTACCCTCCCCCCAACTTTCTTAAATTCCCTGTCCCTGGGTACTTTATCGCACGTACCTTATCAAGAAAAGCCCCTATACCTGCAGTACACAATCTCTTCCAAAATAAATTTGCTTTTAGAAGAATACTACTGTCATTGTGCTTGTAAGAAACCAACTCAAAAGGTTAAATATAAACAATATATCTGAAAAAGAGCACATTCTAGCCATATCTTAGAATCACAGAATGACTTGGGCTGAAGGGACCTTTAAAGTCCATCTATCTCCAATCCCCTGCCCTGGGCAGAGTTGCCAATCACTAGGATCAGGCTGCCCAGGGCCCCATCTAACCTGGCCTTGAATGCCTCCAGGGATAGAGCATCCACAGCTTCTCTGGGCAATTTCTTTTTGTTGTTTTGTTTTAATAACAAGCTATACTTAAGAATAAGTTGAAAATACCAAGTAATTATACTTGCAATATTTCAATCTTAGGTCTTGTGAATTAAGATGTCCTAAAAGTTGCAGCAGACTATTAAAATTAAGCAATGGAATTTATCTTGCATGTAGAACTTTTCGTAGCAAAGATGATTATTTTGAATTAAATTATTCCAGGCCCAAAAGACGCAGTTCAATTAGTAAGAGTCCTAAATGCAACTTCCTTCTCAACTTAGAGAGGAACTGCTACTATGCAGGAGCAAAAAGCACGCGAGGTAAAATTAGCTTCAAAGACAGTAAGCCAAATGATTTTTGGCATTTTTGTTACCAGCTTCTATTAGTTCTGTTAGCCAACATTTCATTCCATACCTCAGTGTACAATGAAATACAACTTGCAGCTTATTTTCATACTTCAAATATACGCATTTCCTACAGCCACCTAACATCTTGCTCACACCTTCCCTAGACACAAGCTCTCTGTCTTTACAGCCAATCCAATGATGTTGCAGAAATGGATGGATCCATGACACACTTAAGTGTTTGCACAGTCCATTTTTCAAGGGCAACTTACTGAAATTTGTCTGAGTCTCTGAAAACTCAGTGTCACTGAAAAAAAACATCTCATTTATGCCACTTTTTTCATTTTTTTCCCCACCTCAAGATTTGCTACTGCTGTTCAAAATGGCACTCAAATGTGGATTTCTTAACTTAATTTGTATGTGTACAAAATACAGCTGTGTCTGCCTTCTCTAAGGACTACAATAACAAGAAGAAACTGCCAGAACTATGTATCTTACTTTCATTATTTTTCAAACAAGAGCAAAACATGATTTTTCATACTCATGCATCAGGCTATGAAGATTCAAAGTCAACATTATCTCAAGAGTAGCAGGACCTAGGACAGGTCCTGAACATTTATAGCAAGCAACTCTCAACAAAATAATAGAATTATTGAATGTTCTTTTTACATCAAGCAACTTGGGTTTTAAGTTTAGGTGGTAAAAGTCAGTGGATCAGTAAAAACAAATAAATAAAAAAATCATTCCTCTCTTGCACTGTAGGCTGCAAGCAAAGAAGTGCATACAATGATGAAACTAATGTTCTATCCACACATTGGGTATAATTTTATTTGCTGTGATATTTTACCTTCCTTTTTAATTAAAAAAAAACAAAAACAAAAACACAAAACAAACAAAAACAAACAAAAAAATCCTCACAACAAAAGCCCACCTTTTTAACTTCAGTAAAAAACTGTGGTTTAACAGGTTCTGTTTGTGTTACAGTATCCCTTACCCAGTCCTCTCAAATCACTGTTAAGTAGAATGGAGAAAAGAACACAGTACATTCCAGAAACTTAAGGTTAGAAATATCCCAATCAGACAATCAAAGTTACCTTTGCTAACTGCCCATACAGATTCCTTCAAATTCTTTGATTACAAGAAAGAAAACTATAAGGAGAACTGCTGAGAACAGTTTTTTTGTAAGAATTCTTCCAACTGTAGTGATTTAGATTTTAAAACTTTAAAATGTTTATTCTAACTAGCTAGTAAATCTTGAAACATTCCAACCGGTGCCCAATCAACATTGGCAGCAACAGCATAGGAAAAGGTTTTTGATACAAGTTTATGAATTCAAATTGTTGATAGTGACATCTCTTCACACACAAAGGGTTGAGGGTTTTTTGTTGTTGTTGTTGTTTATGGTGTATTTTTGTTTTTGTTTTCCTTTTGGCGCGTAGGATAAAAATGCAGATTCACTCGCCAAAGATAATCAGAAAGCTTTTGAAAAATGCTTTCCTGTCCAGTATACACCTCCACTCAAGTACATACAAATCAATTACTGTTGGGCTGAGTTCGGGGGACGATCACCACCCTGCTCCTGCTGGCTGCACAATTTCTGATAGAAGCCAGGATGCCATTGGCCCTCTTGGCTACTTGGGCACACTGCTGGCTCACGTTTAGCTGACCACTGATTAATACCTCCAGGTCAATTTTTTCTACACAGTCTTCTAGTCACTTTGTCCCAAGCTTGTAGTGTTGCCTGGGGTTGTTGTGGCAGAAGTGCAGGACCTGGCATTTGGTTTTGCTAAACTTCATTCCATCTAGAACAACTGAAAACGGTTAGCACAGATGTTATTTTATATATATATAGTATATATATATTCTTATATATAGAACCAATTTTAATTGCTTAGGTGCTTCAGTAAGAATGTGAAATATAGGAGAATCTGTGTCCTTTGCCTGGAGCTAAGTGACATTTTAGTTTCACACCACATTGATTACCCAAGACAACAGAATGCTGAATTAAGGTTCCATTCTTTTTTCCTCCAAAACATCTCTTCTAGTTTTACACCAGTTTTAAGCATACCTCACTTGTTTGAAAAATAATGGAAACAGAACAATTCAAATCCAGTAATTTAAATCAGCATAGAAAACCAGTATTTTATGGGTAAGATATGAAGCTCACCTATTATTTATTTTTTGAAGATTTTCAAGCAATGTGCTGTATGAAGTCCTTGAAAACAAGACAAAAAATGTTGTCTTTCATAAAGTTGAACTTCACTTTCAAACTGAAAAATACGAAACCTGTAGCTTGCTAACATGAGGTTAGCACATGTCTTGTGCAAAGAATGCTTCGCACCTACCCAAGTACTGGTTTAAAGGAACAACAACAAAGTTTCTTTCAATTTCTGGCTCTTTTGTATATGTAATAATTGAATCACTCACACAATATTCTGCATATTCTCAATGAACAGGTGTTCTCAATTCCCACAGTTTTACCAGAAGCTCTTACTTAAGGTTCCAGTACTTGCTATTTGAAAATTCTGTACCTCTTAATTCAGATCAAGCACATTTCTAGACTTCAAGCTGAGAAAAATATAGAATAGAAAGACTCAAAAGATCACTCGGAACTTGCTTTTAAATTGCTAAGACAGTCTATTTTTAAAAAAGCTATATTCTTTACTCCCAATAAATAGCCCTTGATAGCTAATAAATGTAGTCTGTTCTGTACTTAAACCTAATTTCAGAATTAACTTAGGTACCAGTTCAATTATGAAATGTCAATTAAAAATTCTAGTTAGCCCTTTCTAACTAGATATCAAACAATTTAACTGACGCATGCACATTTTCCATATCCCAACCCAACATGCCATAGTAATCCAAAGAACCACGGCATGGGAAAGTTATTTGAGATCCACAGTACGAGTAGTAGGGGAAGTGCATAGGCACAGATGTTTCAAGTTGTTCATGAAAAGAAAACTTTCTTTTAAAATCCTTTACTAAAACAAACTTATTTCATCCAACAGATGGAACATGAAACGTATAGTTAAATAAATCACATGTAGAATGATGCTGATTACTGAACACCAGAACAACATCAGTAACCCTCATACATTCACTGAACATCAAAAAGTTTAAATCAGATAATGCAGTCGACTGTTAAATAGACAGTTAAGTAAGTCACAGGCACATACAAACATCATTTAACAGAAGACAAACACTTATAATTTCTCTTTAATCAATTCTTATAACAGAGAGAATTTCCTGACATAAAATTATTCTAGGATAACAGCTTCAAGTCTTTGGAGTCAGTAATGAAATTCCTGATGTGTCTATATCCTGTAGTAGAAGCGTGCAAGTTGGTGAGAACAGTAAACACGTTACGCCTGGGTCAAAGAACTAACATCTCTGTAACTCAGGACATCTTTTTGATGGATGTGAAACAGCTGGAATAAATACATGAAGGGTAACAATTGTGCTCCCATGGTAGATCCAGCTGCTGCAAAATGAACTCGGGAAAAAAGTTAAAAAAAAAACAAAACAATAAAAAGAGTCATACAGCATATAATTATATCATTTCTGCATATATCTTTTTAGAGTTTAGAACAATGAAAACACTGATTGAAAATCACTGTAGAGATGTCATTTGTTAAAAGCAAAACTAGTTCACAAAGCATTTAAAAATCACGGAGTGATTTTTTTCTGTTTTTAAAGATTCACTTAACACCAACCAACAGTCATCCTCAGCAATTTTTTTTTTTTTTTTCAGACCACAGAAACATTCATACCTGCTAGTGAGAAAGTTATTTTAAAAATAAATGTTAGAGACTCATAATAATCCTGTTAATACTTTATTAGTGTATTTTTTTTTAACGTTTCTATTGGACAGAACATAAATGCAAACTCCAAAAAAAAAAAAGAAAAATAATTCAGAGTCCTCTGCCATCCAGTAGAAGTGACCCTGGCAGTCTGTTTCACGTTCATTCTTTGTTACGGAAACAAAAGGATGGGGAAGGAAGGGAAAAAGCATCAACAGAACAATTAGGCACACAGCTGACACTTACTGTACAATGATATGCACAAGTAATCCATAACGGCTATATTCATGAGATGAGCTCTTTAGATTTTCCCCTTGTAACATATGAGCTATGCTCCCACGAGCAAGGACCATTAAGAACAAGGGAATTAACAGTGGAGTAACAAATAAGACTTTTAAAACAAGTCCTTAAATAAACTAATGCAACAACAGAATGCAAAATTGTTCAGCTGAGAAGATGTTTTTAACCTAGACTTTAAAACGTTAAAAATTCATTTATTTTACAGTTACTCAAATACACATGCATTAAATGAAAATATTGCACAAAATTAAAATTTAGATTGTGGATTTCATATATTTTTTATTTTGGTACACATTCTGGTAGCACTTAAAATTTACTGTTTAGTTCTAACAAACACCAGCAGCACAAGCTTGAGGATGAACCAAATGAAAAACTCAATTGCTCATTTTCTCTTAAAAATAATTAAGGCTAAAACAAGTGCATTTGTTGACAACGGCACAATCTTCAGTGGCCAGTCACAGCACCCAAAGGCCAGAAGATATACTTAAGTGCTGTATGTTAACATTCAGTTTTGGAGACTTCATAGGATAACAGGCTGCATGGTTGACAGGGCAGGTATTTTGAATTGACAAAAGGAAAACCATTGTAAAGATAGGTACAAACTTTTAAACCAAAAGTATTAATTTCTGATCAATCTTGCCAGTCAACAGGCACAACTGAATTAGGAAGCCACATTCTGTAACTAAATACAGAAGACAAAACTTTAGTATATATATACACATATGCACACTCATATATAAGTGTGTGTATAAGTATATATATATATAGATATATATATATGTAATAAATTCCATTAAGTAAAATGACTAATGAACATGGTGTATTATGTTCAATTCACATTCCTAGAGATATTATTTTTATTTTTACAGAAATGTACCAGATAATTAAGAAAATCCCAATTTGCACACAATCAATATTCTCTTGAATTTTTTCATGGTACCTGCAGATAGATAAGAGGTTCCACAGATTTGACAAAACAGCATTTAAACTTCCCATTTTCATACTGCAAAACAAATTCAGTGATTTAAGACGACATAAATTAGGTTTGGTAGTATCAATGATGTAACTGCTATATCACCAAGAACAATTGCTGAATGATCTTTCATCAGCTAGATGTCAGGTATGCGAGAGCGTACACTGACATGAGAGGAAGATACAGGCATGTAAACAATAGTAGCTGGCTATGCTGACTACTCCACACAGGAACTCAACAATTTTGTTAAATTCAACAGTACTTAATCACACTTCTACAAAATCTGCAGAGAAGAAGGGGGAAGGGTTGTTACATATTTTCCAACTTGTCTTCTTGGTAATTATAAAAGAAAGGGATTTAACTTACAGTATTTAATTCTACAATAAAGGAAAAAAAAAACCAAGTGCACTTGAGCCCATGCATACTGTATGAAAATGTTAACAGTACAATACGATCTTCGTTAAGTAGTATGATAAAAGGCTACGTTGCATGACTAGAGTCCATAAGAAAAATGATCTAGATAGATGCTTCAGTCAAATTAACTAGGTCCTTTGAGAGCCTTCTATCTTCTCTTAGAACACTTTAATAGAAGGTCTGTGTTCCTCTCTCACATAGAAGGATTTGTTCCCATTTAAACACAAATTGCTGTAAGGATCCTTAATCAATAGTTGTATCGTATCCCGTGTTAAGCGTTCTGAAGAAATATGGACTCTGCAAAATTATTTGCTATTCACTCAGATAGTAGTGCTCACAAACAGTAGGGGACTATGAAAAAGAAAAGAAAAACTGAGGTATGCTGTGGCCTAAAAGTATTAATTGTTATTTTATTCTTAATTGGACATAAATTATTTGATGGAACTAAACAGATGGATGTGGGGCCTTGATGTCAAATTTCTATTAAAATTTTACACTATGCAAAAAATAAAAAAATTATTTAAAAAAATATTGTAATTTTATCTCCTTTTTATTTTCATATATACACTAAGATGCGTTCAGGAATTCCCAAATGTTTGCATATGACTAATGAAATCTTTTTATCTGTAAGGAACCAACTAATTCTAACATATTTTTTTTTCCATGAACCTTACACACTCAAATGTAAAGGAATCTTTCAATTAGGTAGGACACAGTCTTTTGCACCCTAAAAAGTTTCAGATTTTAGTGGGGAATTGTGTGAGAATTGTTTCTTAGTGCAATTTCCTCATCTCCTAGTACGATGCCTGTGCTCTTTGAAACATGTACTCCCTTCCTTCTGCAACTATGATCTTGACATACGTTCAAATACACCAATTGAACATAAATATGATGCCCCTTCTTCACTGAAGTTACATGCAAAATGTATGCCAGGTGCTATAAGAGCAGAAGATGGCCCTTAGAGCTACAGAATAATCAGAACAAAGGTTTTATTTCTACTGCATCTTTACTAAAACCCCCAACAGATCTAATGTTAGTTTATTTTTCAAAACATAAAAGGTGAAGTTTGTGTGGCATAAAAATCACATTTCCTCAACTTTACTTTAATAAATATACTTTTATGATGGGGGTATAACTATTTCTCCCCTCCTCTATAAATCTGCTGTTCCAGAGATTGCTTTTCATGTTAGCTCAGCCTTTACAGGAATGTTAAATAAGCCCTACAGAGCCTCAACAGACATAATGTAGAAAAATTCCACCTGATTCTCACACATTGCACTATCTCCCAGTGCCAAAACGTTCTTTTCCTCCGCCGTATCTTTCTTTTCCTTCACTCAGTCTGGCACTTTTCATTGCTGGCAAACATCGCCTCAGGAACGGAAGGAATCAGCATTCTTATATAGTGGGCCAGTTTTCTTCTCAATGTTGCATGAAGACGCACCAAATCATTTAAGACACATGAACCCTTCTGGTAGTGGTTGAATTACAAGTGAAGATGAGAAGATCCACAGGTCTTACAGATGCATTATTAATCTACTATGTGACACTAAAAGACTGGTGCAGAAATAACAGCATGTGAGTTTGAAGCCCCAGAGAATCTGCCCAAGTAATAAGTCCTGGACAAATATACACCAGCTTAATAGGTTTAAAGTGTCACCTTTTCTGCAAGGAAGGCGCTTGAGTAGAATGTAGTCTCTGTTTATACCTCTGCATCTGCTTTGACCGTGAATGCAGTTTGTTGAAGAGCTCATGGAACTTATTCTGTGGAAATAAGGTTTCTAGAAATCTCTCCAGAAAGACATATACCATTCTCTTATTCAGTTGAGTATGCTGGAACATCTCAAAGACCCGAAGAATACCTTTTCGTGTTGTCTCAGCACCTATGATGTGCTTCAATTCATCTACAAAAATGAAAAGTACATGAAAGGTTAAATTTCATTCTACATCTCAGTTAATAACACATTGAATATTAAGTCTGTCAAGTAATTTGTTCAAACTTTCTTTCAGAAACTATGCAGCTTGAAATTTGAAGTAACAGTGCCTCTATTATAGATAGTACGATAAATCTAAACATTCTCCCAGAGTAGAAATGATCTCTGAAAATTACATCCATTCTACACTCTATATAGAATCATAGAATGGCTTGGGTTTGAAGGGACCTTAAGGACCATCTATTTTCAACCCTCCACCATGAACAGGATTGTGACTCACTTGACCAGGCTGCCCAGGGCTGCATCTAAACTGGCCTCGAATTCCTCCAGGGACAGGGCATCCACAGCTTTTCTGGGCAGCCTGTGCCAGCGCCATGACACTCTCTGAGCAAATAATTCCCTCCCTACGACTCTCTAACTCTCCTTTTTTTTTTTTTGGAATTTAAAACTGTTCCCCCTTGCCATATCACTATAACACCATATACAAAGTAGGTTTCGTGTTCAAAAACTTTTTAAAAATATTTTAAGTCCTTCCAGAAGCCTCTTCTTCTGGGCTGAACAAGTCCAGCTCCTCACTTCTCTGGACTTACTCCAACAGCTCCATATCTTCCTTGTGCAAAGGGGCCCCAGACCTGAATGCAGTACTCCAGGTAGGGCCTCATGCTGTACTGGAATATATGAATTTTGTGTACTCAACTTAAATCCTTTAGTGAAACTAAATACAGGATTGGTTCTAAGAACTAAACTCGCAAAGGTCACCACATGAGAAATTATTTGAATACAGTTCAAAAGTCAGCATTTCTTTTCATTTTTTCAACAAATCAACATTAACTCCAGCACCAATATACAGTAAGGATTATTTAGCTTCAATCTCAAATCCCCTTACCTGGCATTATCTCTAGCAATTTGGTCTTCCCTGCTACTCTTGTCCTCATTCTAATAGCTTTGTCTCTCCGTGGAACGGTCTCTGCTAAAATGCCATTGGGCCAAAAGGCATCTCTGTAACAAAAGCAAATCTGTCAAAATACATTAAAATTTTAATCAAATGGAAGGTTATATTTAATCTTTCCAAATTTTCTCATAAGATAAATACACAAAAGCAACTTGTACAGAACCTAACACATACAGTAATTATTAGAGAAGGGAAAATAAAGGGAAAAACAGAATAATCAGAAGAAAGATCTACAATGCACTATATCTATTCAGAGTTGCTTCATGCTACTTAGAATGGAATCAGTTGAAAGAAAAATTTAAGAATATATTACACAGCATTCAAATGTCACATATTGCATCAGTCTTTATTGTCACTGACAGACTTTGATCTACTAATTGTTTCAATGGATCTTTGATGGAGGTAGACTATTTATAAGCAAGAGGTGAGATGAAGACACTTTAGTCTATTGTAATGCCCCATGGAAAACACAAATCTCAGTGTATGACACATTCTTTTTCTGAATAAGACACGCATGTCCTTAACTCATGTTATTAAAGAATAACAGAGTATCTCTGAAGTATGATCCTTTGGCTAGTAGGTTATTCTACTTTATATCTTTTCCTCCACGCAAATAAAAAACAAAAGTCCTGAGGGGGTGTTTTATTATACAAATATTTCTGAAGTCATTGAGCATTTTAGGAAACAGAATGATGAAACACAGATTTTTCTAAAGAGGGTCTGACAATGTTAAACTCAGAATTCAGTTCAATTATTCGACCTTGTATAGAACATGTACTAGCATAGAGCTAGGATTTTTAATAATAACAACTGTTTGCTTTTTAATATTGGACGCACACATGCCTTCATCAAGGTAAACAAGACACTTCATCCAGTAACACAATGAATGCCAAATACCACAGCTCTTCAGGACCAGTTAAAAAAGAACATTTAATGAAGAGGAGAAAATTCCAAAATATTTTTATATATATGACAGATACTTTCTCTCACTTAAAACAACTAAATAGCTGGGCCTGGTCAAACTGCATTTCTGTACTGTAAAAGTTTCCTCACACAGAAAAAACAGGAAAGATGTACATATATTAGACATCAATTGACAGGTACTCTGCATTTAACATATATCACGAAAGACATACCTGAAGCGTTTCACAGCATCTGCTACTTGTTCAGGAGATGTCATCCAGTCAACATGATCAACTATTTTCCTAAAATCAAAGCAACAAGTCTCTTATTTTGTTTCAATGAAGGAAAGGAAAAAATAAGTAAACCATTTTAAAGAGTACTGTTGTGCAAAGTGCAACTTCAGATCTTCTCCAATGCTATCAAGTAGGTTCTATAAAACGGCACACTATGAAAACAAAGACTGATTCTCAAGATAAAAATTTGAAGTCCCTTATTGCTCTCTGAGTACTGCTGAAGCTAAAGCCTTTTTCCACTTCAGTAAACATATGATGACCAAGCAGGTAGAAAAAATGACATTACATCTCCTTCCAACATAATATAAATGTTGTGCTTGCGCAGCTCTCCTATTCATGAAGCACTGTTCAAATTCTGTTTATGTAAGCAAAGAACTTACTTAAAACTTATTGTACTTATTTATGAGGCTACCTTGTAAACTTGAGCATAATACTGACTAACCGAAGTTGACATTATCATGACTTCAATTCATCAGCGCACACGGTTCAATATTCAAATCTAGTATGTTTATGGAAATATTAATATCTGTACACTACTTACAAAAAAAGAATGTCATTAAACCTTAAGAATCTGCTGGATACAAATTCAGCTTGTTATTCTACAAATTGAAAACAGTAACAGTGTTCACAGAGCTATTCAATAGGGCAACATGTGTTTGGAAGCACAGGTTTCAAGATAATTCTCATCTGGCCACTAGGAATAATTTTAAAAGGACCCAGTGCTATTCCTATTATACAGAAGCATCACTACTGATACCACAAGAACCACCTATATTTGAAATACTGATGATGAAAACATTATAAGTATACACATGAAGGTTAAAAAGTACAGTGAGGAAATTTCCGGAAGAGTAATGGCAAGCTACTTCTCACCTGGCAGTAATAAAGTTCCTGATCCACAGCACTATGCCAAATTGACAATTGAGGAACTAATTGTAATTACAATTCACCTAATTTGATAGCACTCATGTATCATCTGCAACACTACAGAGATGAAACCAGAAATTGGGCAGAAAAAATAGTATTAGCAGCAAAAAATACAATGTAAAACATAGGTCAAAAAGCATATATAAAGCCAGTATTAAGTTACGTTCATAAAAGCATGAATGCTTCTGGCTCTGCGAAAGCAGTTCTCTGACAGTGTACATTTACATCAAATTTGCACTTGGTTTCTCTTCATTCTCTTTAAAGGGGAAAGCATGTACCAATTTAGCAATGTCAGAAAGGATTTCTAGTCAGTCTCCATAACTTCACTCACACAATAGCTCTATATAAGAAAAGCAGTACCTATTAATTGTGTCACCATATGTTGCTCTAATAAGTTGTTGAAGCAGATTCTTTATATTTCTTCTTAACCATTGATTTCTTTCCTTTAAATCAAAGACTTCATCCATTAGGAGGAGCATTACTCGAAGTGGAATATTGTCATCCACCTGATCAAGTGAGTAAAGATAGAATCAGCAAACATTTCACTTCACAACAGGCACAATTCACAGGCCAAATGTTTCTGTATAAAAGCAACAGGGTCAGAACTCTTTGATCTATTATTTATTATAATATAACAGCTTCCATAAATCTTCCATAACATGACCAGCAGCATAAAAGATTGAAAAATAGGATAAAATATCTTACACTTTTTTTTTTTTTTTAAACGTAAGAAAAAAGGAATTGCTACTGTACTCAAGTGGAACAAACAATACAAGAATGCACGAACTGGAGAGAACTTGTCACTTTGCTTTTTCTTAGGTAGACAAATTCAGAACCACTGAAACGTATTAAATTTGAGGAAGAGTTTACTAAATTCTAGTAAGAGTATTTATTTTTCATCTTTTTTTATCCCCCTATAGACATAACATTAGCTTCTTATGGCCTGCTTTTTGGTATATGCCAAAATTTAAGCCAATACATTGTTAAACTATTGCATAAAAGATGGAGTTACTTGGAGTTACGGTTGTATTACACAAGAGAACACAGTTGTTTATCACAAATGCAACAAGTGCATTTTTTGACTGAGTTGTTGCTTAAATATTAAATTCATTATTAATACTTCATAGAATAGCAAGCTAAAATTATCTTAGAAGCTAACAAGAATTGTAGCTTCTATTCAATTTACAGAAGATCAATGAAATTTTTGCAAAGAAGCTGCTCATATTTGGACTATATAAATTTAGCTTTGCCTGTGCAAAAATGGCAGCCTCAAGAGTGATATAAGATATATGTTTGTAATTACAAATTTACAGATACAGTGATAGAATGAAAAACAATGAAGGAAAAGGAAAATCCAGAGGGGCTCAAGTCTGTTATTTGAGTAAAAATACATCTACCAAGCCATCACTGCAATTACGCACAAGAAGACAAACAGGAATGCTTTGATGTGTTCTAAAACCTAAAATGTGAAAGGCAAAACAGGTGCAGACTTATGACCGTGTAAACTGCATATAATCACTGATAATCTCACAGCATTTCTGTCCTACTTAAGCATAAAGTTGTTTCTTTTTTTTTTTTTTGATGTTGTTTTATTTCCATGTATATGATCAATGTTTCAACTAAAACATCAAAATAGCATACCTTGTGACAATTTCAACTTCACTGTCAAGTTTCTTAACATTACTACTTTATTTTTGGTATCCACATACTGAAAGTTTATTATTCAGGACTATATGAACTTTTTTTCTTTGTCTAAAAGAAATGTGCTAAACAGTACTTATGATCCATTAGATGAAGGCCTCCTGAAATGTTCTCAGAAATCAGTCGTAACTGAAATTATGCTGACAGTCTGGTATCATACTTTCTTTGAATAGAAAGAAATAGAAGATGGAATAAAAACTTCAATCAAATCTTAAAAAAAATAAATAAATACCCCAAACACCAAAATACTATCATGTGAACTTTAATGCACTGCCAAGCCATCTTAGTACTAAAAAAGAAGTTAACTTTAGAAAGAAACATCATTTTTTAAAAGAAATTTAAGCGCCTTAAACACCTGCTTCTAAGTGCCTCGTTTATTTATCAGTGTCAGACTCACACTGTCATCAAGTGTTGCTGCAACACGGCAATGGTCAGGATCTGAATAAGTTTTCTGGATCAAAGGAGGCACCTGCAATTCAAGAAAAGGTAAGTTGTATGAAGAACAATACTGTAGAACTCCAATAAATTAGATTCATTTTCATACCCAAGATGATTATGAAAACAAAAAACAAACATTTGGTCAAAGGTCAGTTACATACTACAGCAGATTTTCATATTCCAGCAAATCAGGTCTTGTATGATCATGTACATTTTTTCAAGTGCCCACTGCTTTAGCTGAAAAAACGTACTTCTTATGTTATTTTCCCTTTATCTCAACTTCTGCTTTGTAACAGTCTTCCTAGTGAGTATAACTGCATATATTTTGCTAGTCACACACCAGGGAAGCTGCCAGCAATGAGAAAGTCCAGAGGCAGTAATTCTCACACAAGAACAATTATATAAAAATCACACTCCTTACAACGACAAAAAAAACCCACACCATAGATCTATTATTCCTGTTTATGTTTAGTTTGTCTGGGTTACTGTTCTACATCTACTATAAACAATTGTTTTGTTAGTATAAAATAGAATGGCCAAAGGACTTTACAGGAAGACACAGAAGTAGAAAAGCAAGGGAAAGGAAGGTAAGGTAGACATACCAGGAAGATTTCTAGCATATAGGAAGATAGCATGCCTTGCTGTGACTCTATACCTTTAAGGTGTTTTATTTTAGGAATACATTAGATAAGATAACGGTAGTACATGGCAGGACAAGCAGAAAGAAAAATTAATTAAAGACAGAATTCAACAAGGAATAAGCAGAGAAGACATTATCTCCTTAGTAAGTTTCAATACATGCGTTCTTTGTCCAATGAATGCAGTGACTGCAGCAACCTAGCTTTATGAGAATGGAAGGTAAAAATCGATTACACCTCCACATTGTTCTCAAGTGGCTGCACTGATTTGAAAATGGATCCCTGCATAAATTCCATCTTCTAATTTGTTACATAACATCAAAGAGAGCTCCACATTTGCAGTAAAACGACTGCTGAACCTTATAAAGAAGGGTATAAGAATAAAAACAGACTGCTCTCCTACCCAAGGACCTAACTCTTCATTATAATACATAAGTTAAAATGACTTGACAGTCTCCTATTAATTGATCAGTACATATTAACTACCAAATTTTTTCTTACCTTGAAAAATGATTGCTTTATGTCTTGTCCCAGTCTCTCTGACATTTTACCCATGTTGTCTGACATTTTAGTCATTCCCTCTGCCAGGCTGTCAGGAAGAGACTTGACTGCATTTGATACATTTCTCATAGAGTTACGCAGTGGATTTACAAATGTGTCCATCTAAAGGGGAAGATGTTGAACCAGAATTGTATGATCTATGAGGACACTAGTTAATTAATGTACTATGAGAAGTATCATGCTATTTTGGAGAACAATTATATGAAGGACAACTGTAATTGCTTAAGCTCATTACATACTGCAGCAAAAAGTTTTAATTTCATTTTCATTAGTTTCTCAGTCCTTACATTCCTGCTGCAAGCCTTCACATCTTTCAATCGATAATCTTCCTGAATCATTTCCACTTACTATTCTTTTAGCTTTTCTTTCTTGTATTTACTTTCCTTTTCTTGTCCATTTAATGCCATTTCTTTGTTTGAGACTCCTGCTTTCAGAAGTGTTTCACTTCTGCTTTCAGCTGACCATCTTTGAAACACAGCTTTCACATGTACCTTATATTCAGTCCAGAGGTACAAACAGTAACGTGATGCTCAAAAGATTGTGGGAGATTTCTAAGTTAAAGCAAATCTTACTCAGTCATCACACAAATAATGATTAACTTACAAGAAGTATTTTACTATGCTCTGGTGTTAAGTACTTTAGAAATAAAGAAGCTTGAACTTACAATTTTAGATGCTTTTTATATGAAAAGTCAATAGAAATTTAGAAATACTTATATTTGCAAAGCAGGCACTGACACAGACTGGTCAAGTGACCAAAGAATCATTTCTCTGAATAGAGTTCTGGTGGCTTAATAAAATAAATGCACAGTTCAGAGCTCTGAACTTGACCATTGGCACTGCTTACAACTAAAACACACAGCAGCTGCTTTTGAAGGGAAATGTATTTCATTTTTTGAGCTGAAGACTGGACAGTATGTAACAGCAGCAAATACAGAGTAAAGAATTGAAAAAAAAGATATAAGAAATGAGTACAAAAATGAGTACAGAGATGTCTGACAAAGTAATTTGCAACAAGCACAATTTTAAAATATTCTTAATGCAATCCATGGTTCTATAGTCCCTCAGATTCTTGGTAAAGTGTTTTGAAAGCATGGCTTAATATATGAAATATTGTATATATGAAATATATCTCACATTAAACTGAATATCACATATTCATACATAGTATATATGAAATAGCTGCTTAATATCAGATCATTATCTTTGTTTAATGCAGCCATCACAGTAACAAATGCTCTACTAAAGTTTCATTAACGTTGTAAATCATTCTTACCTTCCGTGCAAAATCCCCTTTCCCCTTGCTGTAGGCCTTATTTTCCAAGAAGTCGTACACATAATGGGCTAGAGCTGGAGAAGCTTTCATCATTTCAGGATTTAACAGGAGCTGAGTAAAATATTTTTTGAAAGGCACTTTTAAAGTAATTTTGAAAAGAGGCATGCAGTTTAGTGAAAGTTTACCATATGCAAAGTCAGCATATTTTGCAATGTATTTTTTCATGCATCCTCTAAATTTTATTCCAACATAACACTATTCTAAAGATGGAAACAATCTGCAGACAGGTAATTTCTATAATTCTTAACTAGTATGTTAACTACAGAATCTCATAGAAAAATACATTAAATACATTTTCATTATTGTTAAAACACCCATCAAGTCAGTCAGCATACTTTGGTGCTAAGTGACAGGGAAGTCCCTGTGAAATAAAACACAGTCTTCATCTGAATGGGGAAGCTGTGCTGTTGTGGTATTCAGCAGAGTGGGTGCCATGCCAATCCTTATGAAACAGCACAAGAGAAAGTAACCACAAAAATGAGTGTAATGGAAGAAAGTTTAAAGAAATTTTAGTGGTGTAGTGCTCAAAAAAAAAAAAAAAAAAAAAAAGCACAACACAATTGGAATCTCACCAGCTCAAAAAAGGAAGGGCAGAAATGGCAGAGAATAAAACAAAACAGCAAAGAAAAGGTGAAATAACTACATAATATAATGTTTAAACTTATGGCATACTAGTGGGATGAATTCTGTTAGCAATTTGAGTAACATCTCAAAAAATGAGCACCTGCACTTCCCATATTAACACTGGGAAGTACTGATGACAGATCTATGCTATTTCTATTTAAACACATTATTCAAAATTAAATTTGGCACTTAGCTTCTGCTGGGACACTCACAACGTGTTGTTTAGTTCTTTTTTATAAATCATCAACAAAAATTGCAGGCAAATTTTCTACCTTGGATAACAAACAAACAAACGACAAACAAACAAACAAAATAACAGCTTACCTGCAAATATGCATTTAAATCTTTTTTCCTCTTCTCCAAGAATTCCCTGTCCATATTGTTAAATGTCTTTTTGCCAGGAAGTTTCAGTATATTTGCCAGATTTTCAAACTAGAAGAAAAAGAGATTTTTCGCTCTGTGTTCAGTGGAAGTTCAACTCACCATGTAACCTCAGAAATGATAGATGTCATTATATGCCCTTCTCATGTACCATATCATACCTGACAAACAATTTCTGCATAAAGCTCAGAACTCAGAGAACTGGAGAAGCCAAAAGGTAGGCTGTAAAGAATGAGTGCATGCCAACTCTCAGGAGATAGTTAAGGGCAAAATTTAAATTCAGAACACATCAAGCAATACTGACTTTGGAATACAGATTTATATTAGTATACTCTACAAATGCAAATTATTCATGCCCTCACATCTGCACAAAAAGCCTAGGTACAAGATTTATCATTATTGTCTAGACAGAAGTCAGTAGGGTTATGACTATACATCAAGAGAACTTGCACATCTTTCTAAAACATCCTCCCTTTCTTCTCATACTTCCTACAAACTTGCTAAAGAAGAAATTAAATTTTTAATCACTACAGTATATGGCAGCACCCTGTTTATACAGGTTATCATGATGACAGGCACGAGTTGACTTCTCCCACTGTTCCAGTTATACAGAAAAAACAGCTGTTTCAGTGAAACAGTATAGAAAGATGAGGCTCTATCATATCAGAATGTTGAATAATTTTGCTACAATTCACAAGAGGAACTGTAGTGAACTTGAAGTGAACTTGAAGAATCAAGATTATTCATAGATAGAATCCAAATATTTCTCTAAATCTTAAATAATTTTTTAAGGTGTAAAGACAGTATTTAGTATCTGGTCTCTAAAAGGTTGTATACTTTCCTCATTAGACAAGATCATAAAATTACAGATTTAATGAGAGTTTTGTTCCATTTCAGTTCCTGCACGTGGACTTTTTGTGAAGACATCATTAACCTTGGAAGGACACAAAGGTTGTATAATGTTTATGGCCTACAGAAATCATCACATAACACATCTTACCCATGTTACATATCTCATTCCCTTGCAAAGTGCCAGGGAAAAGAACAGAATGCGGTTTATTTTTTATTTCAAAACAGAAGCATGTAAGCAAAGAATAGCTTGTATTTTATAGATATAAAAAGCAACACAATACTTTGAATAATATTAGTCTACTAACTAAAGAAACTGGATGTGAATCAATTCAGCACTTTTCTTTAAAGTCCATATAGATACTGTAACTCACCAAATCCTTACCCCTTCTATTAATTTTAAATAAAAGATTCAAGCCTTTACCTGTAAGATGTCAATAATAACATCAGACATGAACACAAAAAAGTTTTCAGTGTACCAGTGACATTGTCATGCCTGTAAACTCAGCAGTAATGTTAATTTTACTTCTGAAACAAAACAATATTGTTGGGCATTTGAGAAATCCAACTCTTGATTACTGAGGTGATGCAGTAAAATCTGACTTTTTACTCTCTTAAGGCCACTATTCTTACGACCACTGACTTTTTCATGTCAGGAGATTGTACAGTTTATTTCAGTGAATTACAAGTGTCTCATTCCTCTTCTCTCTTTTGTTTTAGGAGGTTTAAGAATCTAAGCATAGAAGTATAGCAATAAAAATGCAGTCTAGCAGTACATATGCTTTCATCGCAGGAATTACACAGACATAATGTACTAAACAGTTGCACCTGTAAGCAGCTCAGTACAAATTATTACATTAATGGTAGAAAAGTACACATTAATGCAAAATACACTGCAATTACTCCACATCTTAACCCACTTTGAGAAAGCCGATGTAGTGCCTGTTGTGCCACACTATCACGCAGAAAAAAAAAAAAGAAAAAAAACAAAACTCTTTCATAGAAATCTTAAAACACTTCAATGAGAAGAATTACCTGCTCAGTGATCCTCATGTGAAAGTCATGGAAGTCACTGTAGCGCCGATATGTCTTCCATGTTTCCTCACTGTTTGCATTTCTCCGATGGACTGTGATAGCATACAGTGCGTACGTCTTGCCATGGTCATTACACACTCCTGCCACAGCATATGGGTCATAGTCAGCATATACTAGTTGTTTGAAAACAAAAACAAAGAAGGAACAAACAGAAAGAAGGAAGACGAGAGGACACAAACGTGAAGTGAAGAAATGTCTGAAATGACAGACTTGAGAAACTAAAATGGACATGCAAGCAGAAGAGTAAGTCATCCGTTTATCCAAAACACTAGAAGTGTTTGAACATAAATTTAATTCACAGAGATTAAGTAGCCTTAAAGATAGGCAAGTTTCACTCACATGCAAAACATAAAAAAAAAAAAAAAAGGAAAGGTTCCAACTTTAATGACTAGAGAATAGATCTTTTAAAAAATAATTTCAACCTAAGGAATTCAAGATAGAGGTGAAAGACAACTGTGAAACCAGAAGAAATTTCAGTCTCTGAAGTACCTTCTAGTCGTATTTTAGAAAGCTTACAAATACAACAGAAAGCATAACATCATAACATTCATTTCTTTCTTTAGCATTAGCAGTTACTGGCTACAAGATAAAAAACAACCTCCACAGTACTTCTCAGTCAAGAAAAATTAAATATACATAGACATACACAAATGCACGTATTCTGTATGTGTACACATGTATACATAATTCTATGTATGTATACACATTTTATGAAGAAGCCAAAGGCTAATGTCTAAGCTGCAAAGCGAGCTCAAGGATTGGGGCTTACGAGGTAAGAATTCCCCACTTGTAAAACACACAGTGGGAATGGAGCATCACCAATCTTCTTTGGCGTCAGTCCTTTAGAAGAATGACGAGTGCTGAATCCAAGAGTAAAGAGACAGGAAGCCATTGCCCCATGGGTGTGCACAAAACGTATCCTTTAAACTCACACTGACCACTCTGCCATGCAGCCACTGTACCACAACCCATGGACCTCTAGCAGGACGGCTGACAGCCAGGAGCAGTAGAAAAAGAAAGAAGCAGCTCCCACCACGCTTTACATTGTATCTTAATATAACAAACACCTGTTTTGCAACACAAAGGAAGCTGAATCCTTAATGATTATAGATAAGACTTTGTAACCCCCCCCTCCTGAGCACAGTAAAGGGCAATAAGACAGCACAGGAAAGAAGCCTGCACACAGATACACCATGTGCAAGCTGCCTGCAGCACCCAGAAGGCAGCGACACTTCTATAACTTGCTCCAATACAAGGTAAAGAAAAAGGAGACATCTAATTTCATCCTTACAGTATGAACCTGTGCACATTCCTTGGTTCATATGAATTACTATGGAATGATGGAGTCAAGGTGATAGTAATCAGGACTTGCTGGCATCAGACTATAAATTTAACATAATTCACAAGAGTTTCAGAGTTTTATTTTCCTTAGGGATTAAAACAATGAAACTTCTAAATTTAATTCAGAAAACAAGTAATGCCTGCAATTTTAGTACAAGAAAGATTGTGATTCTTAACTTTTAAGATTATTTTTCCCCTTCTCTGAGGGCTAACAACATAGAGACTATTGGATTGTACCATGCTGGGCTGCTGTAAATTTAATTAAAATGTCGGTTAGCTCAATTTTTGCTCACAGCTTTCATCTGTGCTATATAAATACATAGTTTAAAAGTCATAGTAAACTCTTCCCAAAGACTTGCTGACAAAATCATTTTCCAGTGGAATCTTTTCTAACTAGAGTATCTGCAAATAGTACCTGAGCTTTATTATTTGCTATCCTATCATATAATTTTTTAGCTTATTAATAAACAGAAGTTTGATAAAATAACCAAGAATTCCACCACTGTAAAAACTGAATTCACTAGCTTAAATTGAGCTAAGCCAGTCAGGAAGCACAGAAAAGGGGGGATTATATTGTAGCAAGGGAAGCGAACATTCTAGTCAGACAAGTTGTATTCTTAAAAGAAAGTTGGTTTTCAGAAATTGTTCTTTAATTAGCTGTCAAAATAAATACTCAATATTAAATTTAATGAACAATAGTTCATTAACTTTTTTCTGTCATCCATAGAAAGGAAAAAAATAATGCTATAAACAGCAAGAATTGTATTTCATTTTAGGTACATATATAGTCTCAAGCTACAGCAACAATTCTGTATGAAGTTCCATCACAAGGACTTCATGGGGAGTATGAATTCAATGTTTTATGATATTAAAAAAAAAAAGAAAGGATTAGGAATTCATGGGCCTGTAATATATTAAAAAAAACAACAACAAAAAAAACCCACTCAAAAGTTGGAAAAAAAAAGTAAGCAGTTGTTGTAACAGGTTAACTTACCAGTATCCGAGATATATGCATGGAGTTGAACTGTCTCATCAGAAGGGACATTTGAAAGGTCATCTAAGGACTGCAGGGGGAGAGAGAGAGCAGAAGGAAGAAATGAGCAACAGAGAATAAAATCATAGACATGTCTCATTTGCAAGATGCTTTATGATTAATCTAAACTTCTAGTTCACTATACCATTAGGATAACTTAATGCACTATGACAACAAAATAATGTTTTTATTACCTGGTTACTAAAGTAATTCCCCCCAAAACACACACAGTTTCACATACTTTTGTGACCACACAAATGTATTTACCACTTTCATTCAATATCTCAATGTAATAGAATCATAGCCACAAATAATCTTTCTCTGAGCACTTGAAAAACAAAAAGAACAGCAGTACAGCTATAGAGATACAGTTGTGGTGTAACTGAGGTTTTACTTATTATTACTTATATCTTTATACTGTTTGTTTCTTTCAACTGACTGCCAACTAGACAAAGATATAGCGCAGTAAAAGTTGAATAATTTCTCCACTCTATGTAAAAAACAGTGAGCAATTTTCTCAGACACATTCTCCACTATAAAATATAAACACATGCACCCTTAGGCTAATATTCTATCTCCCTGTTCAGTAATCATTTGGGATCAAAAGAAGCTTAATAGATGTTTTAAAGATGCTTTTTTATTATTATTATTTATGACAAAGACAGAGCTACTGTCTTTCGGATCTTAGCTAATTTAGGCAACTCCAATACTTTGCATACAATGCAATTCTGACATCAAACTACTGTTGTTTGTTGTTTTTTTTTCTAAAGCATCATTACTTATTTTTACCTGTCCCTAAATCACAAACCTGACTTTGTCCTTTCTCCTTATATCTGCACAGAGTTCAGACAAATATATATTAATGGCATCCAGAAGATCAAGTCAGGTATTTCTGCTGCTATTCAAGGTCTTGGATATGTATTACCTTTGTAACTTCCTCTCTTTTACTCAGTGCAAAAGGAATACGGAAAGTTAAGATCACGGAACAAGTTAGATGATAACTGCAAGAGCCTAAATATTCCATAATTGTTTTATACTGCATAAATGCACCCTACTGTTTAGTGTAGTAGATGAAGGTGTTAACTTAGAGGCAGGAATTAAGAAGATAAAGATAACTTTTCCTTTAAAGTTTCAAGTAATCTTAAAAGAAAAGAACACAAGTTAATTAAAATGCAAACTATCATGCCACAACCTAATCTTTCTTAACGCACTGTCATTAGCTAAAAGTACAGAAATCCCATGACCTTTAAAGTAACCTTACCAAGGTCTATTTTACTTCATGCAACAAACTAGCACAAGGGAGCAATATTATTTGTATAGAAATGTACTCTTGCCATGGAATTCAGCCAGGAAAAACTAATCTACCAGTACTCAAACACCTGTAAAAGCACTGAAAGACCCAAACAACCCTGAAGAATAAGTAAAATTTCTTCTGCCTAAGAGTTTTATTAAACATTTCTGTTTAATTAAACATTCTGTATAAATAATATTTTTCATTCTTCATGAAAATAATATATGTTGAATTCTGCTAATATGCAACAATGCTTAATAAAGGCTTTAAAATTTTCTAGCTTAGCTAGGAAAAGTCACATAAAAGTACGTAGCACTAAACATCCACCAGATGATCTATAACAAAGAGAAACCCCTATCCAAGAATAATTCTGATATCAGGTTATGTTTACAAGAATACTTGTGATATTTGAAAGGTCTTTTTAAAGAAATGCCAGTTACAATAATCTCTTAACACTTTATCAATACTGCATGCATATTGAAAAAATATTACAAAGCCCTATGTTTCACTTCTGTATCTAACAGGATTTTGTGCAAGTTCCACCTGCTGAACCCTCTTTTCATATTTCAAAATGAAAACAAGATGAAAACAATAGAAATCACAACAACAAAAAAGAAAACAATATGGAAGCTTGTTAATATTTACTGTAAAAGTATTCTTTTAACGAGTAAATTCTACTCCTCTGCATGCTGAGCATGTTCTAATGCACTGGAACTCATGCAGAGGTACAGAATCCTCCAAGAAAGAATTAGAAAGGGCTGTGAGTCACATAAGCCAGGAAGGTGCACGCTGATTGCAAACTTTTCTAAAACTAGACATCCAGAATACTCTCAAAACGAACTACTGAGTCTCCTTATCTTGTTCAGTTAGATATAATTTGAAAAAAAACAACTTAGAGGGAGGTGAGGAAATGCACTGAAATTGTTCTTATTTTTTACTTTTTGCAAATTTGTGATTCTAGCCATTCTATGATTCCATGATTCTGTGTATGTTTCTAAATCAAGTTCTAAAAAAAAAAAAAAAACCCATTGCATTAAAATTAAATGCTTTGCTTTGCAGCTTGAGATTTTAGTTTCAAAACATTTCATCTATTATTACTCAAACTTAGAATTTATGTCTATTTTAACATAAGGAACAGGTAAAAGATGTATGTTTTTCTTAAATTAACTGCAGTCTACTGATACACTTTTTGTGAGAAACTACATAAGCAATTCATTAGACTCAGGCAAAGTACAAAAAAGGGCTTTATCTTACAGACAAACTGAGCTTTACTGTGTCTTTCAATATGATTCAAGAGCATAACACACTTTTTCAGAAATTAAACTGCAATGAATTAACCCCTCTAACACATACATAATTGAAACTAATTTGCAACACTCTCTACTGTTGGGGAGAGAGGAAAACAGAGCACTTACCAGATTTATGCTACTAGTAGGAGACCCATTAAAAGATTCTGGCATCAGTGAGGATTGGGAAAAGAAAAAAAAAAGTTAGATTTCCTCCAATGTAGGGCTGCACACAAGAAATAGCAGTCCTCATAAGTTTTTGTAGTTTCACTTCTGTGAAAAACTATTATCATAGTACTGAGAAACATTTGTACACAACACATAAATACTTCCAGCTCCCAAAACAGCATCTAAATGAAAATGTATAGAAGTTTCCACAGCAATAGATACAAAATAAATACTCCAAAGAATGTGTTTTTATTTTAAGCTCATACCACATGAAATTGCTTCACTAAGGAGTCAATTTAATAGTTGAATAATTTCCAATAGATTTGAGATAAAGTTAAGGACAATTATTCAGTTGCAAACTTCCTCTGGGCCACATTGTGTTAGAAATCAGATTAAAACATTATTAAATATTTAAACATGTAAATATTTTAATACATATATATCTAATTAGAATCTACTTATCATACATATATGTGTTCATTTTGTATTAGAGTATAAATACCATATAAGTATTTATTCATACCGCATATTAAAATGTTCTAATTCAACAGATTTTTAAATAAAAAAAATTACTGTAATGCCATCTCATTCAAAGAACTGTAAGCAGCTAACCCTTTGACCCAAAAGCATTCATAAGAAAAAGAGCTAAACTTGAGAGTACTTAAGAAAACAGAATAAAAAAGCACAAGATAGAACAGTTACCCTAACTCTCACATCATACATAAACAATTTAAATTAATATAAGGTCAGTATATAATGTCCTCAAAAAGAATTCATTTTTATGGCCCACCCAATATGTCTAACAATAAAAGGAGATATGATACTACTTCAGATGACACAGCAACATTTAAGAAAATTCAGTAGACTGAGGATACAACAACAACAGAAAAGTACAGAGGAAAAAAAATCTCTTCCCCCTCCACAATAATGCGGGTAGAAAGGAAAGCAACATTAACATTCTCAAAGTGAAATAAAGCTAGTATTTCTGTCATTCTCACACTAGCACAACAACTCAAAAGTAGCTTGAGTTGTCAGCAGTGCACTTTAGCTTACTAGCAAACAATCAAATGCTGGTAAACACCAAATGCTATCAGGAAATTACAAAATACCAGAAGACATCCAAGAGCATGAAGTCTGCTTAATCTCCAAAATACTTAAACAAATGTCCATGCTCTTTGATGGACTTGCTTTCATCTTTATTCAATCTAATATTAAATTATTATGTTATTCCATTTACATAACTTCTAGTGGTAGGACTACATCCAACATGCTAATGGCTTTGTTACATTTACAAATTCAAATATGTTAATTAAAGAATGATCTAAAATGTATCTGACCCAAAATAAATATCCTCAAGATTCTCTTGGATTTGTTAAACAATTTACAAGGCCATAATAAAATAAAATGAGAAAACATTAAGCAAAGAAATTAAATGTTAGAAAATGAAAATACATGAGAATTATTTAGACCAACTTTCGTGAATGTAAGTAATAATATAAAGGATAAAACCACTAAACAAAGAACAGGCAAAGGAACAAGTTGATAAGATTAGCTTGGGAACACAAGAAAAGGGATGTAGAAGTGTTATTAGATAGTCTGTTCAGTCATGTAAGATCTGCAGAAATGGGAGGCAGTTAAGTGGGAAGAACGAAGCTGACCATCTTAAGATTCTTCAGGCATTAACAAGATACATCACTAGAGGGTACTAAAAAACACAGCTCCATCTTCAATTGCTCTTAATCTAACTGAGTTCACATAGAATTGTAAGCAAGTGAAAGACTTCCACATTCTTCAATGGCTTCCCATGTTTTCATTTTGCAGAAAGCTTAAAAAAATCATATCTATGTACTTTTGTTTTCTATTACCATTTGAATAACATGGGTATGTATTAAACCCTACATGAAGCTAATAAAGTTACTGCAGAAAAACCTTTCTGCATCTCCAAACAATTTGCAGAAAAACAGAAAACACTAAATTTGAAGTTTTAATTGATTTTAAGGCAGAAAAAAATATATATATATTTCCAGAAAATCTCCCAAACAGGTAAAGAGCTCACCTCCTTCACCATCATCTGATCCTCGGAAACTGGGATCCTTCAGCATATCTAGCTCAGCTAACATTCGGACATACAATACGTTCTGTTTGAACGAAGGGTAGAACCTTTCATCTCGCAGCATCAATTCATACACCTTATTGAAATAAAAACACCAACATTAGAAATATTAATGTTATGATTTTTTCATTAGACAAGCTGTTGTAAATTCTATTTGAACGACACGCATTATCATATTGTATGCGTGTCTGAGTTGCCTTTAAAACTCTACTGCAAGCCTGAGAAATTTCAACTTATGCTTACTCTTAACAAAAAAGTTATGAGAATTAATTTTGTTAGCAGCATAACACAGAATTAACAGAAACTCTTTCACTGACTAATGATGTGTGTACATATAGGAAGAAAATTAGTAAATTAACAGTGAATGTTTCCTTCCTTTCCTCTTAACCATTCCAGCAGCACTCTAAATATATTTAGTCTTCATCAATTTCATGAGAGGTTATTTCTCTACCTTTAACTCCAAGCATAAACTTAAAAATACCTATAGGAAGAGGTGCAAGAGAGAAAGGAAAGGGAGGAAGACTCCACATACTACTTTCTTGAAGAAGATTTTCAGTTCAGCCAGAATAGTACCATCTTACATCACACAGAACTAATCACACCATCTCAAAAATTTATCCACATAGCCTGAACAATGACATATCACCTTCCTGTTATACTAACATACTCCTCAGTACCATCACACCCAAACCACCATCTACTCATCCACGTACACAAATTTTATCATGAAGGTAACCAGTAATTTAAGTAGATACGGGTTTTTAAAAAGAAGAACACACAATGTATGACATTTTAATCCCCTACAAAATTGCCTTGGGAGAGTAAGATTTTCATTCATTGTTTTTTTAATCAGTACTCACTAGCAATCAACTTGTATATACATACAGACAAATATTCATATATATTTTTATCTAATGTGAAAGAATCCATACAAGTGCTATCACTTGGTAAGAATGCTCCCCAGAAATTCATGCCATTCTGAGAAAGTTAATTTCTTTCATAACACACGAGAATTTTATGCTCTCTTCAACAAGAATGCAAGGCCCTTGTAACCTACTTAGAGCAATGCAGATTTAATAACATGCTTTTATTGGTCTTGAATGCAGTCCTCACGTACAACAGAGTGATTCTAAATTCTGCAGCTCATATCATTAATTTTTAGTACAAATGAGAACATTTTGTTAGTGACTGAAAACACAGGAATCTCTCAGGCTGGATATATAATTTACTGACTGAACAAAAGATAACTCATTTTTTTGAAAAAAAAAATTAGGCTTGAGTGATAAAGTCTAAGTACTCAGGTACTGAAAAGATAGTTTCATCTTTGGTATTTGCTGCTTTGTGTACAGTCCTACAGGAACAGAGTTGGCCAGTTAACTTCCTGAAAGATAAAATTTCATACAGTAATACACTTATACTTAACTCACCTCTGAAAATAGAGAGCTGATGACAGATGAAAATTATACCACTTACATGTTATTTGCATAGGCATTTTCTGCTACTTCATAGCATTTTCTGAGATTGGTGCACAAACAAATAAGAATCACATAATTTTTAGCCATGCTTCATAATTAATTTCACTCAGGTCTCCACGCTTTCTGCCCATTACTTTGAAAATTATGAGCTACATATGGCTAAGCAGAAGGTGGCAAGGTAGAATAAGATTTTTACAGAAAAGGAAATTATAGAAAAGGAAAATAGTAAAACAGGTTTTAGGTTTTCATACTTGATTTTCTTCCTCTGGCTGCAGTGAAGTTTAATACCCCATTGTCATAAAAATGCCAATGAAATATAGCAAGAACAAAGTATACCTTTCTTTGAATGTCATCAAAGATTTCAGGTGTTGGATCCTCATGGTTCAATGTTTCTGCCAGTTTTGCTACCAAGCTGTCATCAATATTAACTCTTGGAGATGCCTGTCACAGAGATCTAAATCAACTTTTGCAGCATAAGAATAAAAAACTTCTATTTTCACAAATAAAATCCAATACAATTCTGCAAGTATCTAAGCAAAATATATAGCTTTGTGATGAGTATTTCTAGATCTAAATCTGCATAGGATAGAAAAAAGGAAAAAAATAATCTGATGAAATTCAGAGTATTAAAACTCAAATTTCAGCACACTAGAAAACACCTCAAAACACAATTTAAGCACATCAATTTGAAGCAATATACCATCCAGACTTACTCAGACTCAAGTATAGTTTTATTTATGAATAGAAAGACTCAGATTCAGAAATAAAGAAAAACCCACTTTAAAAAAAAAAAAAAAGGGAATGGATGAAATCCTAAAGTGACAAAAAAAACTCAACAACCTAACAGCTTGTCAGCTCTACTAATTTTGCAGGCTATCAGGAGCTGTAAGCACAGTAGCTTCTTACACTGACAGTATTACAGCTACCAGAAGAGACAGCCATCAGATTCTCAGTTCTCCCTTGGTATGACGTATTTCAAAACTGCTGCCAGTTAACCTTTTTTTTTTTTTTTTTTTTTTTTAATATAGGCCCAAGCTCACATAATTTCCCATTTCCAGCAACAGACACAGGAACCAGCACTAAAGCAGACCCAACACAGCTGCTCAACTGATCTACTTAGCACAGCTGACAGGCAGAGTTGGTTGGCTTTGGAATAGCTCTGGGATTACATGGCTCCTATGTAAACTGGTGACCGTTCAGTCAGCAGAGCAAGATCTGGATAGTCTAAAGAAACCCTACTGGTATGCTTTTGAGGTGAAAAAATAAAGTGAAAGAAATAATGCAGAAAAACTGCAATAGATTTGAGAGAATTTCCTGAGGGAAACTTTTGAGTAAGTTCAAAGGCGATTTTTACGCATACACAAATTCAGAACAAAGGTGCTTTGTTCACAAGTCTGAAAACAGGATTCAAGATTGCCAGAAAATCACCAATTTTTTTTGTATACTTGTGATTTCTTTCTCAGTCAAAATTAATACATGACCTGCAAATTTTCAAATGGAATGTATAGATTTGCAATCAGAAATTCAACTTAAAGATCGGAACATGTCATTCTACTGGACTTAAGCCCTGTCTTAACAGAGAGAAATACCCTTCGCTTCATAATTATACCTTATTCATGTCATGGCTTTTTGGCAGCATACACTTTTGTGAGCAACTCTTTTCGAGGATGAAGCACACAATAAGTAAAATTTCATAAAAAAAAATCTAAGAAGAAACCCTTGAGAACTCACTAAGAATTGCAAGTACTTCCATCAATCCAGAGTGATGCTCTGGTTACACAATAAATGGGTTCAAACATGGGCTGTTTGATAATTTTATGCTTTCGTTGTCCTCTTTTTTGTGTTTTTATAAAAATAAACAAAGAAAAAAGTTTTGCTACTTAAATACAATAACTGCAGTTTATCTTTTATGAGGTCTGCTCCAAAAACAATGCCTCCTATTTCATTATGTCAGCCCAAAACGTCAGATGTGGATGTTAGTGGTATGACAGTAAAGGTTGAACCTTCCCACCAATATTCCATGACATTTTGTTTCCGTATGACAAATGGCAGCAAAGGGGCAGTCTAACGGAATGGAGTCTGACATGGATGTGCATATGAAGCAAAGATAAGCTACTGAATTCCTCCAAGCAGAAACAATGGCATCCATTGACATTCATTGACACTTTCTGAACGTTTATGGAGACCAAACTATGGATATGAGTGGAGTGATGCATTGAGTGGTACATCACAGCAACTATGTGGATATAGAAGCTGCAGAACATGGGTTACCTCTGCTGGTGTGAATTTATACAAGCATGGCATTCAGGCTCTTATTCATGGCTGGTGAAAATGCACAGCTAACAGTAGTGACCATGTTAGAAAAACAGCATTTTGTCATGAGAATTTGCTCTATCAAATAGCATTACTGTGCTCTCTGTATGAGCTGTAGTTTGCATAGAAATAAACAGGAGGCATTGCTTTCAGAGCATCCTATGTATACATGGCCTAAGACAATTCCTCTTCACTCAGTGCAGCCCAGGCAAGGTGAAAGGTTGGGCACCCATGCACTGTAGGAAGTAATTTCTTATTATATCTTAACATTTTCTCTCGTTTTTCTATATACTATTATAGAAAGAAAGCATCCGAAGGTCACATTTTCAATGCTTTTGGTAAGATAGTCAAAGAAACTGAAAAAATTTTCTTACCACTTGACATAAGGAGAGAAGACACGCAGGTAGTACCCTAAATGTTAGCCTGCAAACAACTTGTGCTGTATCAAATCAACTTCTTATTACTGTAGTCATAACTACCAGACAACCATGGGTAAAAACAGTACATTTCAAAAAATTCAGAAGTACATTATTCTACCTTTTCTGATAAATATTGCTCATAAACTCCAACTGCAGCTGCTCTTAATAGACCCTTGGTCTGATTAGTCTGATGTTTTCCATCTCTTTGCCGGCTTTGAAGTACCTCCAGCTGTTGCTGTGCTGTAACCCTGTATCCTTCCACTGTCATCCAGAAAAACAGATGTGCTTGGCCACCAGTCTGCTGCATGTAATCTACAAAAAACAAATAGAAAATATCAAGCAAACAAGCACAGTTATATTATCTTAACGAATTCTCTAAAATGTTAGCTAAAATTTGAACTCCAGAACATGTTAAATATCTGGAACAATTATCCAGAGTGAAAAAAATAAAGAGGGCTATATATGTATTGGTGATAATCAGTAAACAAAACTGACAGTTAAGAACTAGGCTGCTGATCTTAAAATGCATATGTAAAAACTGAATCAATCATTACTGTGTGGAAGCAACAGGGCTGTATAGCACGATACAAGTAGAGAAGTTCAAACTGGAATTCTAATGAATCACATGCATGTACTGCATTAAAAGAAGTATTAATAACAACAACATAAAAAAAATGATTGATACTCTTAGTGATGATCATCAGGAGCATTATTTATTTACAGAACAGCAACAAGCACCAGAAAATGATAAATGAATTACTCAAGATTTAATCTACCAAATTTTTGATTATATAGTATACCTAAAACAGTACATAGATTCCCACTGTATTTTAAGTTCTTGGAGAACTTTCAGAAGATCCATAATACTCGAAAAATCAATCTAACATCTATAGCCATTAGCTCCATTAACTTCAGTGAGGCCAGCAAAAGACAAACAATAATGATTAAGTTTCAGAGTTATTCAATTACAGAATTCTAAGCAATTCTTTTCTAAACAGAACAAATTGCTTTGGTGACACACAAAGAAAGAATGTATCTTACGGAGAGATCAGGACTGAAACAAGATTAATACAGGTATTTAGAAGCGCTGAGCATGGTGTTCCGAAAAGATAATTAGTTTCACTTGCAAAAAAAGGTTTTGGTCACCTCTGGCAAGGACATATTTAACTCTCAGTAAATACTTACATTTAGGTACAGTTATACAGCGCTGTGAGTCAGTATATTGCTTCTAAATAGCAACATAAGATAAACTGATACTTACCCATAAAAAACTGTAGTGCAACATTGTCTACCAGGATATGGTCCAGAGGGACTGTGCAAAGTTTTCCAAAGTTTGCTGCCAGTTTCACAGTATCTATTTCCTATAAGACATAGTTCAGTGTTCATTTTTCTAAAATTTTTTTAAGAATTTCCCCTTACTATAAAGTTGGCATCATAATTAAAAATAAAAACAAGAAAACAAAGAAAACATGTTATAACAATAAACCTGCTTCTCTATGGATAATTATTTTTGCAGTCATTAATAAGACCAAGATAAAAAAGGTCATTTTCTCATAAAGAGTTGGTTTCAACTATTTACTACCATACAAGGGGCTGGCTTTTAGCTTTGTCATTCACGTCATGTTATACAAGTCAAATTAACACCAAATCTTTCTTAACTGCTTACAATAGCATGAAAATGAAGTAATGAGAATAACTAATTTCAGAATTTTATGGGGTACAGATCATTACAACTTAAATTTATGCCTGCTCAACTGTATTCTGTTAAAATGACATTAATTGGTATTACTGCAGTGCTTCAGGATCCAGCCACAGAATATTTTAAACATTTTCACTGTCAGAATGCACAAGATTACATTATTACAGAGACACACTGAAGTCCAATTAGGAGAGTCATGAAACAAAGCAAACATACTAACTTTGTATAAATATAAATCAAAACAAACAAGTCAAAAGAACAACATTAGGCTCTCAAATTTAACATCCAGTCTGCCTCAGGCTTTTTATGAACTAAAGCAGCAAACATGTTTGACAAAATACAATACATAGACTGTCCATAAGGCACTGTAAAACAATCAAGTGGTGCCCTTATCAACGAGATAAGGAGAATTTCGTCAAAGACTAAACTTAAAATGCCAAAGGTATATATTGGAGCAGCACAAATAAACAAAAACCTGACCTGAATCTAGGTGCAGAAATGCAAAGATGCTTTACGTATTATCTACACATCATTTCAGTTTAACTCATACACTGAACCTACAGCTTAAGGTGCAATAACCTATCAAAGCTACTAAAGACAGATTTTAACACTCTCCAAACATGTAAATTAAAGACTAAATTGAATTTTATGTATTCCTCTAATTGCACACTTCAAATTTGTTTCAAAAAGCAAGAATTAAGAAGTTAGACTGAACTATTAAGTTTTTCACAACTTCACTCTCTCAGAATGAAAAATCATTCTAAAATACTTACTTTTCCTGACTGCAACCTCTGAATTCTTGAATCACATACTTTAATAACATATAATAAACTGTTTATTTGATTTTTTATAGTGTTGATATCTGAAAGTAAGAGAAAAAAGAAGAGGATTAAGTAATGCAGATGAGCAAATAAATTCTTTCCTGAAATAGGAGACATACTTTAAGAACACGTCAAAAAAAGAAGGGAAATTTTACATAGTAAACTCATCAGATTAGCAGAGGTTTACAGTTTAAATACTTCACTGATAGAAATCAATGAGAAGAATTTCTCTCTGCTTTCAGACTGTTAGCTGACTACTCATTAATATTTAAAGTATTACTAAAATTCAGAACCGGCTGTCAGGTAAGTTTCAATTCAATAGAAGTATACATATCTAACCAATTTTCTAAACTAAAAAGAGAAGAAAAACAAACAAACAAACACTTCCCCTACTTCCCCCCCAACAAAAAACAACAAAAAACCAAGAATGAAAACAAAAACAAGCAAACAAACAAAAAGAACACGTTCTATGTAAGACACACACAAAGAAAATACAGATGATTAAAGTGATTTGCTTTTAAGCACACAAGAAGATCCAAGTTTTAACACTTCACTTTTTAATTTTTGTTAAGAAGAAAATATTTTTATACTAAGTTATATCAGTTTACATTTTCTGGATTTTTGGAATGTTCTTCAGAGATCATGCTGGTAACTGCGTTTCATATTTTGTAAAATAACACAGTACTAACCATCTCCCGCTGTATCTAGAGATCGAAGATATTGCAGTTCTTCGCTTGCTTTATCTTTGACTGCTTCCAACTCTCCTATATTATCACTTAATTTAATAATATTCATAAAGGCCTCATAGTTACAGTTGGAATCACGAATCTGAAACAAAATTTTATAGCATGAATAACGTAAAACAGATAAAAGCAAGACCTGAATCGTTATGAATTACTTTGATGCAAAGTGGCATTTTGAAAACATTTTGATACTTCTAGGCCTTCTTTTAATTCCAAGATTTTATACTGTGAGAGATGCACAAAATTTTCAGAAATCCAAATGATAAATGAAACTGGTCATCTGTACGTACTTCTATATATTATAGAATCATAGGTTGAAAAGGATCACAACGATCACCTAGTTTCAACCCCCCTGCTTTGTGCAGGGTCGGCAACCACTAGACCAGACTGCCCAGAGCCACATCCAGCCTGGCCTTGAATGCCTCCAGGGATGGGGCATCCACAACCTCCTCTCCCTGCTGGCCACCCTTTTTTTTTTTTTTTTTTTTTTTTAATGCAGCCCAGAACACAGTTGGCCTTCCAGGCACACTGCTGGCTCATGTCCAGCTTCTACTTGTACTTTCTATTTCTGTGGGCCAATGTTAACATTCCACCTCACTGCCTTGTCTGTTAAACATATCCAACCTGTCTCTAAGCTAGAGCCAGCACTGCCAGATGATTCCTTCCTGTACTACATACTGTGATCTCAAATCTCATCAGTTTTAGGATATAATCTCTTGGACATCTAGCTATTTTTTCCCCAAAACAAAATCCAAAGCTTTTCACAACATTATTAAAAAAAAAGTCAGTCTGAAGTTGTCTTTGTTGAATACCAAATCAGCATTCTGTTCACAGTCTTCCCACTAAGTAGCATAAAAGCTTGAATGCAGTCTGACTCACTTTTTTTCCAAGCAGAAACAGTAGAAATAAAATAATAAAAACAAAAGTCAACAATCTCACACAGAGATTGGACATCACTATTCTGAAAAAACACAGACTCACAGGAAAGGCTGCTTTCTCTGGAACTAGAAGAACAAATACTTAGTTTAGAACAACTATTAGTCTCACCAATAAAGCTGAGCAGTTCTACAGTATACCATACATCTAACTCAAGCTCTCTCCTAAGCAAAGCATGAATATCGACAAAGTTAAAGCTACAGTAGCTTGCACAACATAAACTTGCTCCAGCTTGTTCTCAATGTACTTTTCACACTGATCACAATTTGCCTCATACCCCTACAACTGGCTGTGCTAAGTCTTGAAAAGGGAAGGAATCCTTTTCAAAGATCTTATCTTCTTATAATGCCCAGATCACAAAGCAGAAAAAAGTAACCAGGTCAGAGAGATAGCAACAAATGACTGATGAAAGCCAGACCCACAAAGAACCAAACAAGCAGTCTTGGTTTAGATTTAGTTCTTACCTAAAAACATAGGTAGAAACTCATGAGACCATTGAAAAGATTTAAACTTCATCAAGGACCTCTACATATTCCCAAACTAATGGTGTCTTAAGATACAGAATGAAGAAAAGAAATGAAACATTTATAACGTATCCACGACCTAGTGTAATAAGAACAAGGAAATGCCTGAAGTAATTACCTGCGTAAAATCTAACTCTTGATACTTCTGTAAGAACTACTGAGCTGTTTCAATATATACCGTTATCCCAAGGCTTGCTGTCCTAATATTGCCATAAGCAAGTCTGCTATAAGGACATTAAGGAATTTATCCAAGTAAAGGAAGCCTGCTGCATTGTTGAGATCATTGGAAACTGTGTTATGAATGCAGCACGGGACTTCAGGAATGTTGGCAGCTTTACAGCATATGCATGCAGGTGCAGACAGCTGAGTCCTATAAAGCTGTCCAAAGCAAGGGTGGAGAGAAAACCACATCACTCATGTCTATCATAAACGCTCACTATCACATGGAAACATAGCAGTTGGCCTGCACTGCCAAAGCACGCTGGCATGAGCTGCACAGAAAAGAGACTACAAAGCGTGGATACCTTTGACCAAAGTTAATTTTAAAATGTATTTCTTAGAAGTTGCAATCAGCTGACCTTTCAGGTTCCTTCCAGCCCAAGCCATTGTATTGTACTACCATAAGTTTTTTTCCATGTAACAGTATAAGAAATAGTTGAATTCTAAACGTTTTATTAAAAAAATGAATTTTATGGCAAAAAGACAAGCTTTGATTAACTTCTAATTTTAAAACAAAACAAAGATTCAATATAAAACAATTAGTAACAGTCTACGATATGCCAAGAAACACAGTATTAAACTTCTCATTCAAAAGAATCAATTTTTTTTCTGTTTGAATCTGATTTTATGTCAAAGATTCCCATTTAAAAAAAGTCAAAATTTGCCCCATCTTCTTTTAACCTTAATTTTTGCAAGAGCTTTCATTTTGTAAGACTTGCATTAAATTTTTGAAAGCATTTACTGTTATATCTTAGCCTTATTTTCCCCCAGAATCTTTATTTCTTTATCTCAAAGAAATTATGAAATTAACAACTGGGACATCATCATAACAGAAAGCTTTATAAAAGCCTCAGAATTCTATCTTTGGATGCAGCCGAGGGCAGTACTCAGTAAATAAAGAGGCCAAGTTACTAAAAACAGAAGATGCGTAGGAGGAAAAGGGAAACAAAAATTGAAATACTTAGTATGCAGAAGCAGCAATAATTTTTCATACTAAAATTTCTTTAAAAAAGCCTTGCAAACTTTTACATAAAAATGGAGATTAAAGGAAACAATATATTATGTACGTCTGAAGCAATTTCATATGTAAAAAGAAAAATCCAAGTGTGTTTCCAGCATAGTTCTGGAACGTGCACTCCAAGATTAAAATGTAGAATTGAAAGCAGAGAAAACTTGGAGAAGGAAAAGATAAAAATAAATGTGACTCATGACCCACAAGGAAAAAGCAATAAACTTTAGTTTTAACTTGGATTATCAGACAATAACATTAATTAAAATGAAAATGTTCTATGTATGCTTTTTGTACATATTATTACTTTATGAAGGGTTTTTTCACAGGTTACTCTTGCATTAGAAAGACATCAAAGTAAAGGTTTTGTTTCTTCCCACTTGGTTAAATTATTAAGGATCACCACAAATATCCTTAAAACAAATCCTGAGATTTCTTAGCATAAGCAAATGCACACATACACAAAACCACTTTACTACTTGTCAATTTGCAGGTCTCTTAAGTTTAGAGTACACTTATTAAAAAAGAGTTAAGAAAAAAATAATTTTCAAGGTTACCACCATACCTCCTGAACAGCCAGCCAATTTTTGCCAAAGAACCACAACACAGGGTACAGCTAATAAAGACAGCATATACACACATGCATAAACATATACACACATGCCAGCCAAAGTTATTTCTGCCAATATTACCATTGGTTAACTTTTCTACTCAATGCATTTTGCCATGAAAACAAGGGAACACAAGCGAAGGCTTATATAAAAACAAAATGTTATAAATCTTACCATCCATATGACATACTGATTAATATAATCAGGATCACTGAGCTGGTTTATTAATGGAAGAAGAATTCCTCGGGAGAGGATTTCCTAAAAATTAAGATACATCATTTTCAAGTCGTTATTCATAAAATAAGTGCAATAATTTCAGTAACGTTGTATACATGTTAAAGAAAACATGTAAGAACAGTTATCATTCAGCATACCCCAGCACATTACCTTCCCAATTAACATCAGAAGACAATATTCATTTTATCATTTCCTAATATTGCTAGAGGTTAAAAAAAAAGAAAAGCCCTTGAGCATTTCATATAAACCAATTTATTCTGTTAAATACTTTTAAGAATTGTATTTCATTTTAAATAATTCAATGCAAAGTTAGATCGATTTTCTAAAACAGAATTAAAAAAAAGAAAAAAGACAGTTCTAAAAATTTATGAGGCATTAAACTAAAGAATTAGGATGACTTTCAGAGTCGGCATTTACCCTGACAAAGTATCGCATGATCTTGTTCTGGAAGTCTCCAGGAGGTAGCAATATATACAGTAAGACCTCACACAGATCCCTTAGGAATCCTACAGGGAGAGAACAAAATTAAAAGAACCCTCAGCACAGTTTTCTATTATTTTGTCTCTCATTTTACCTGATATCATGAAAACCAACAGATAAATCCTTAAAATAAAACATAGAGTAATATGCATTCTTACAGTTTTAAGCACCATAGTAACGGCTTTCAGAATGAATATAAGCAGTTCTGACATATAATCCAAATGAGTTAACTATAGTTCCAAAGCCAGTCTTAAGAAAGCCAAATTCCAAGAATCAAACAAGTAGCTCCAATTTATTTTCTTTAATATATGTAACATTTTTCTTCCTACATACTTTCCCCAAACAGCGATTTCTTTTATTAAATGAAGATTATTCAGTAGTGGTAAGGATAATAGATCTAATAAAAAACAATTATTATCTGCAAAGCTGCTCCCTCTGTGCCAGGAAGCATTTCTAAATTTATTTTTTTTCCAATGAAAAGAGAAATAGAGACATATATACACTTTCATAATATTAATAAGTACAAATTAGAAGAAATACATATGTGTTGTAGATAATCATGCTTTGAAAGTCACACACAAAGGTTTCAGTATATATCAATATTTTAAAATCGATTAGTAGCATTTTAATTTAGTCTGCTAAACTACAATAGCTTCAGAAGAATATTGAAAGACCTTCTTCATCTTTGGGAGAAGTGCAGACTAGGTCACGACAGACTTCTTTTTCCATTTCAACTTCAACCTCAAAGAATGTATCTACAAGTTCCTCAGCTTGGTCTATACAAAAGAAAATAAAAGCAAATATACTTTTCTGTAAAGATCAGAAACTTGAGAGTAAACTTGAATTATAAAGTTAACTATATTTCACACATGTAAAACACTTGCCAACTCAAGACTCAAAATAAAAAATATTTCAGTCATTATATTACCTTTCATCTGATCACCTTTCTCTGCTATTCTTTGCTGAGCTTTTCTGAAAACTCGAAGATGAGTGCCGAAGTCATCAACAAGTCGTGTAGTGAAGTAAGGCTGCCAGTCTGTTTCCTTTGACCTATCAAAGTGACCCATGAAAATTAATTAGTTTATCCTGAATATAAAGAGCATTTATAAATTTCTACTTCTCATTTCTCTCTGCGAACAGTCGGTGACGGCAAACACAGTGTGAAAAAATAAAAAAGCCTCCTCATCTCCTGTTCACCAAAACCAAAGAAAACATTGTAAAATACTGTTCTTATATCTACACATTAATATTTATGCTTGAATTACTTTCAAGTGAACACCAATACCTAGAGTAGTTTCTAATTCACAATACCTTAGAATATCTGCCAAAAAACCCGAATGCAAACCATCTACAACTTAAAACTAAAATACTGCCCAAGTTTTGTTCTTTCTTTCTTTCTTTTTTTTTCTTTCCTCCTTTCTCACATTTCTCACATCCATGAACCTCACATCCCTGAATCTCTTGGTAGGATGTAAAGGAGCCAACTCCCCTTAAATGTACGGACAGAGCAAGTCCAAGATCATCTCATGAGACTGAATGTGTACAAGTCTATGGGTAGCCAGATGACATGCATCCCATGGATTTAAGGTAGCTGGCTGACGTGGTTGCCAAGCTGCTCTTCATCATATTTGAAAAGCCACGGCTGTCAGAAGACCCCCGGAAAATGGGAAACATCACTTCCATTTATAATAAAGGGAAGAAAGAAGACCTAGGGAACTACAGGCCAGTGAACCACAAATCTGTGCCTGGGAAGATCATGGAACAGATCCTCCCAGAAGACATGCTAAAGCTCATGAAGATTCAGTGGGTGATCCATGTCAGCCAGCACAGCTTCACCAAGAGTAGGTCATGTCTGACCAAAGTGGTGGCCTTCTGTGATAGAGTGATAGCATTAGTGGACAAAGGGAAGGCAACTGATGTCACCTACCCAGACTTCTGCTAGACTTCTCACATGGTTCCCCACACCATCCTTATCTCTAAATTGGAGAGATACAGTCCTGAAGGGTGGACTACTTGGTGGATAAGGAATTGGGTAGAAGGTCACAGCCAGAGGGTTGCAGTCAATGGCTCCATAACCAGCCAGAGGCCAGTGACAAGCAGTGTTCACCGAGTCAGTCTTGGGACTGGTGTTCCATAACACCTTCCCCCATGACACAAATGATGGGATTGAGCGTACTCTCAAGTAAGTTTGTTGATGACACCAAGCTGAGTGACACAGTTGATACAGCAGAAGAAAGGGATGCCATCCAGAGGGACCTTGATAAACTCAAAAGATGGGCCCATGTGAAGCTTCAACAAGGAAAAGTACAAGGTTTTGCACTTAAGACAGGGTAATACCAGATATGTATACAGACTCAGAGAAGAACTCCTTGAGAGTTGCCCTGCTGAGAACAACTTAGAGGTCCTGGCAGATGAAAAACTTAGCACAAGCCAGCAGTGTACGCTTGCAGCACAGAAGGCCAACGGTATCCTGAGCTGCATCAGAAGAAAGGTGGCCAGCAGGGTAAGCAAGGTGATTGTCCCTCTCTACTCTACCCTTCTGAAGTGCAACCTGCAGTACTGCATTCAGGTCTGGGGCCCTCAAGATCGGAAAAATGTCAAACATCTGTAGAGTGTCCAGAGGAGAGTCATTAAGATGATCAGAGGGCTGAAGCACATCTCCTATGAAGACAGGTTGAAGGAGCTGGGTTTATTCAGGCTGGAGAAGAGAAAGCTGCAGGGAAACCTCATTATAACCTTCCAATATTTAAAGGGAGATAAACAGGAGAGAAATCAACTATTTACATGGTAGGTAATGACAGGACAAGGGGAAACGGCTTTAAACTATAGGATGGAAGATTCAGATTAGATGTCAGGGAAGTTTCTCACTGAGAAGATGGTAAGGTGCTGGAACAGGCTGCCCAAAGAGGTTATGGATGCCCCATCACTGGAGATGTTCCATTGTCTAAATTCTCTCGTATAACTGCTTTATTATAGCAACATCCTTCTAGAACACTTTCTCCTTTGTGTTTGTTTTCTCTTTCCTCCTCAAAAAGAGAAAGAGATAAGGAACTCCAGTAAACAAAATCCAGATGCGAGATTCAGCAGTGGAGCTGTCTCAAAGGGAAGTTAATTAAAACCATTGATAATCCAGCTCCACCATCCATACAATCAAGTCACACAAAAACACTAGGTGGCAGCCTCGCAACACTGTTCTGAAAGAGAAGGGGGGGGGACGGGGGAAAAGGAGTCTGCTGTACTCATCCTCTCCAGAAATTCATAGTGCATATGAAATTAGAGATTATGGAACTAATCTAAGACTGCTATGGCTATAACTGACTGCAGTCATTATAAATACACTAGATCATTTTCTCCTGATAATAATCAATTGCTGCAGCCCTAGGAAAATGATAGGAATTGTACAGGAAAAAGAAAATTATACAGGAGTAGAGGCTATTTTTGAAGAAATACAGTACTGTAGGAGGAAAAATTAAGGTAGTTACAACACAAAGTCAAAGCTCAATACCACCCAATGAAGTAACTTCATCCAACAGACAAAATCATTGAAGTTGAACAGTCAAATCCACTTCATATGTAAGAACAGGATTGTTTCCCATAGGCTACATAAACAGTACCTTAGTTTTCACTATTTTCAACCCTGTTTCCTACGTTTTCTATTATTTCATGATCAATGTCATTTTATTATCATTAACTTTTCCTAGTATTAAACCTAGCTCTCCATCTTGCCAGAATAGTGCCCTGACCTGCGTTTTCAAGTAATAGAGGACAACAAGGCCTTAAAACTTGCTGAGAAGTTTCTTATACTTAGGTGACCCACAACCTCTTACTAAAGAGAATACAGATAATTACTGCAGTGAGAGAAATGCTTGAAATCATTACTTAATAAAGAAGTATTGAAGTTTACACGGATATAAATAAAAGGTGGCTTCAGCCATACTAAAGATAAACAATTTCCTAGTCATTCACTCCCTGGTTTTCTGCTACTTGATTAAGAACACAAAAACAAGGGACAATTAACAAACCATCAGTTTGTCATGAAGTAAGTAATAAGTATCTTTAAGACAAAATTACATCTGTAAAAAGAAATGATACATCACATTACTACCCTTTTGAAATTACTCATTGTTTATACATACTGAACAGCAAGACCTTGTTTTAAAACTTATCTAAGCTGATACAAGTATTTTAAATTAAGGTTTTCAGATAGACTCATCTTGGGAACAGCCCTGCTGTTTATGCGAACCTGACTTGCATGCAAAAAAAAAAAATGAGGATTCACACTGCTCAGTGTCTAAGTTACAGAAAAATAGCTAGTCAGTAATTTTAGGCATTAATCAAAATCTGGAAAAGACTGTGACAAAGAGCATCACTTCCTCTCATTGCCTACGGGATCAGCAAGGCTGTACTTCTTTTAGATTATGATCTTAAAATATGTTAATGTTCTTTTTGTATAATATAGTGAACTCTGCCAATGGATAAACTAAAAATAATTTATCTATTACCATACTATCAACAGAGATATTTGTCCAATTGCTTGATAAAATAATCTTACCTGGCAGAAAACTGAACAAGTGCATACTGAAGAGCTTGCCTGATTTCCAGGAGAAATGATTCATCATCACTTAGTGTGTAATACCAGTACTGCACATAGTCTCTCAGGGAAAACTGGATCACCTGAGGTTGGGAAGGGAAAAAGAAAAATGAAATAATGAACAAAACAGGGCAAAAAATTATGTGCCTGATAAGGCAATATCAATCTGCTTAAAAAGTTCATTAATTAACTTATCTACCATTATAAAACCATGAGTGAAAAAATAAATACTGAAAGCTCTCTTGATTCACATGCATTCCCACTGCTATGCTGAAAAATTGCAATATACAGAAAACAGACAAAAAATATTGCCCAATATTCTGGCCCATCCTTGATTTTTTTTTTTGCTTGCCAGTCTCAACTTCTATTTGCCTTACAACTACTTCAATATTACAGACTCAATACTTGGAAAAATAAATTAAATAGTACTGCTTAGAACTTACCTGTTGCAAAGGCTCATCAATTATATTTGCACCTGTTAGTCTTCTGTCAATCTTAATAGGTCTGGCTTCACGTTTCATTTCTTCTATGCACTTCAAAGAGATCAGGAAATTTAACTTTGTAGTTTCTAGTAGAGCTGGTTTTTAACTATAGCTATTTGTGATATTTGTACATTTTTTCCAGTAGCAACTTCAGGTAACTTTTTTCTTACATTTATGTCTTATGTACTATATAGAATAACACCCATACTTTTCACTATATAGTAAATAACAGTGAGAAACTTATCTACATTATTTATTGTTTACTGTAAAGAAACAAGTTCACTAAAATAACAGATCAGAAGGAAATAAAACTCAAACAGCAGTGAAAGGGTGGGCGAGAACAGCAGCACAAGATAGTTTGTGGGTAAGACTCCATTTCCATACTTGACTACAAAACTCATCTATAGCCTCATGCAGGTGATAGTTTAAGTTCCCCTACACGCTTCCTGTATCTTTTTCTGATTATTATGTGCTGATAGAGAAATTACTCTTTTGTACCATCACTACTTGACAGACAGCCCTTTAAAAAGTAACTGATGAGGTTGGTCAGTTGAGAAAAATGGCATATATGCACTGGAAATCCACCCTCACACCAGAAGTACAAAAACTGCAAGGATTACACACACACAAAAATACATTGATACATAAAACAACTAGAGCACAGATACATATAGAGATCAAAGAAGGAGCATTAAAAAAACTTCATACACATAAAATAAGTTTAAAAGAACACTTTTTCTAAGCCTGCTCTTCAAATAAATAAACAAGATATAAGCAAAATTTCATAATCAACATAACTATTGAAAGCTATATAGTACCAAGAACTTGAGATCCTTAAAATGAAGTTTCATTAAATAGAACAGAAAGTAGAAACATTAGTTTGCCTACTACTTTTTGAAAAGTAGCAATAAAGCCTTAAACTTTTCATTTAGACCAATGAATTTACACTCAGGTTAGAATATACTTGAGTTTTTTGTTTCTAAGATACATCTGGGACTTAAGTGAAAAGGTAACTTTCCAAGTGAGCTATGAATGAGTCACAAAAAAACTGCAATTAGAAAACGTACTGCTGAATCTAAAAGTACATTTCTTTAAACATGCTATTGATAATAAAGTTGAAACCCCCTCATCACAAACACTATAATGATTGACCATCTAATGGCTGGAGGATGTCTCAGGTGAAACATATGGAAAATTAATCATCATAACATAATTAACAATCTTCAGGTTCATGCATTTTTTCTATTCTGAGGAGTTCAAACCAATTAGGGTAAGACATACCTGTCAAGACACATAGGTTCATAAACCAGGAATTTACAGTAATTCCACATCTTATTTATTACGAGCCTGTTCTAAACAGATGCATATTTATGCAATTAGGAAACCTGAATTTAGAACTACTAACCAAGATGATCTGCCTGTTAAAATTTCAGAAACAAAGTCAGAAAGGGGATCACATTGCTCCTCCACATTCATATACGCATTTCCATTATTTTTCTTTGGCCTTAAAGATAGCCAAAAGACAAGTCATTTAACATTATAAAGCTAGAAACAATACTTGAAAAAAACTTCCCATAACTGCTTAAAATGTTTGTATTTCTAGAAGGAAAAATCTTGCATTGCACTTTCATAAATACTTTTCCAGTTGACTGAAAACAAAAAGGTGGGATCATTTAATCTTGGAAAATTAGTAGATTTATAATTTTTAGACTAAAATTAAGTAACTTAGAACTCAGTTTCAAAGCTATAAAATCTGATCTACAAATTAAGGACATTAAATTCTCCTTACCTTAGGGATACCAACTGATGTACAAGGAAGAAATGAATGTTCACACTGCTCAAGGTACTTTTCTGAGTTACTTTTTCCAAATAAAAGAGTAACCACAAAACCCCTAAAATTGAAAAAGAAACACCAAATAGAACAGCAGTCTTTTTTCTCTCCCCACTAAAAAACATCACACAGCAAGTTACGAAATACCAGTATATAATGACTTTCACTGTTATCATAGGGCAAGGCTCTTTCAACGTATCTTGTTACTCAAAATAACTAACACAATACTAAACAGAAGTTTCCCAGTCTTATCATAAAAGCACAGAATGGCTTAGGTAGGAAGGGCCCTCAAAGATCATTTCGTTCCAAACCCCAGCCATGGGCAAGTTTGCCACCCACTAGATCAGGCTGCCCAATCCCCATCCAACCTGGCCTTGAACTCCTCCAGGGATGGGGCATCTACAGCTTCTCTGGACAACCTGTTCCAGAGCCTTACAAGAACCAGAAAAGCACCAGGAAGAAATGGATATATCAAACGTAGAAAGAATAAGAACATATATTAAACTGAAATGAAAAAAAAAATCAAGTGGTCTCATCAAAGCACGTAGGAACAGAGAGATGAGAAAAAAACTACAGGAAAAAATAGTTTGATCACAATGGTTTGGGGTTTTGGTTTTGTTTAATTAAGACAACATATAAACTCTAAAGACAAGCATACTCTTGTACCACTTATTTTTTTTTATTCTTTTATAATAGAAATGCATTATTTTTCACCCTCATAACTCCACAATAATATTTAAATCATGACTTGCAGTTAAGCAGGACAACAGCTGTTTTTATTACTTTTTTGTTTGTGATATAATGAATGCACAAGGGAAAATAACGATTACAATAAATTCAATTTTGCTGCAACAGGAATAATTTATGGCTTACGACACCAGGGTGCAAAAACATAAAGCCTGTTTTAATAAGAAACAGTTGAAAACATAAAAGCTGTGCCAATTATAGCACAACTGAAGTAAGCAGCCTTTGAAAAGTTAATCATAAAAAACACTGAGAAGTTACTGCTGCTCAAGACTAGCCTTGGGATGGCTGAACACGCACAGCTTTTTAACTATTCAATTTAAAGGCCAGTTGATGAACCCTTGTGACCGTACGATCTCACAAGGGTGTCCCAGCCTAGAAAAGTCCTGAAATAACATTATTTTAGCATAGATTTTTCCAGTTATACAACATTCTTCATGTATGATTAGAATGTAATTTCTAACCAACGTAACTAAAACAGACAAAAATATAGCATTTAAAGCTTTTAACCCATAAACTGGGAACCATTCTTCATAAGCTCTTTAGTGGTTAGTAATTCAGAAGTAAGGAGGCTGTCGTTTATACTCTAATATCTTAAGGACAAAAGAAAAAGCTACACAAAATTATTATGGGTAACTTCATAAAGAAGAATATTCCGCTTGATACTGTGATTCCCTATGACCTAGAGCACCCTCCTTATCTGCCAATCACAAACACTTTCTACATATGAATAAAGGACAATAAATTAAAAAAATTTAAAAGTTCTAATTGCTTTTCTGCTCTAGATGCTCCCAGATAGCTTTGAAATCATAACACTGACAGCATTATTATCATTTCAATTCAGTTCAAGGACAAAAACTTGCTTAAAAACCTTCCCAGTATTTGTTTCATTATGCTAAAAATGGTAATTTTTTTTTCACTCATCACTTAGATTTACTTTATTTGTAGTCTACCAATTTCCTACTAGAAATCTCTATCTGCTTTTAAAGAAAAAAGTATCCTCAAAGACCTTTTTTTTTTTTTTCCTAAGAAATAGTTCTAACTTCAAACAAGTATCAGCAACTTGGAGGAAAAAGAAGGGGTGAGATAATCCTGTTAATTTAAAAGGATTGGAGCCTTGAAAGTAACAAGCTATACATTATGAATCTTTTTTCTCTCAAACATTTTGACATGTTTCAAGCATCAAAAATTACACTCATTCAAAAATGCTCAGATGCTACCAATGTAGTTGAAATGTATGTCCATCATCCTATATGTATTTCTATTTCTAAGCTAGAAAAGCTAAGAACTTCTGCCTCCAGAGCAGAAATTAATACAATTTCTTCTTCAGCTTAAAAATCTTGAGTACATTACAGAAGTATACATAGCCTCACTATTTAGTATAGCTCTTAGCTAATCAGAAGCTTCCAGCGCAAAAGCTAATCCAATTAATCAAGAGGATATTAAATTCAGTAAATGTAAAATCATTCATCTTTTCTAAAAATTATTGGCATGAGATTGTAATTCCCAGTTTGAAGTTCTTCCAAAGATATTGGAAGATCAGCTTCTCACAAGGACAGATTAACATTAGAACAATGGTAAGAGACAAAAAAAATGAAGGCAACAGGTTTATCATTTTCCCGTTAAGTGTGAATAGTAACAACCTCAGCTGAATGCTCTGTGGAAGTCAAAATGCAGCTTCACAATCATTCTCAATCTGGCCAGGAATTGAACTAACAAGTGTAGGCAGGCAGACACACAAACACGCATATGATTAAATATCAATAATAATGCTTTTTACAACAGAGCAAATTGCTTTATATGTCAGTGATGGCAGGTCTAAGAAATTTTAGTTCTGAGAACATCGGCTGCTGGCAGAACTGAAAATAACATAGTTCTTATTTCACTACTTTGAGATTCAATGACAGAAGGAGAAAGGGTAAGGTAAGAAACACACATGGTACAAAGAGAGGACAGGTAAAAGACAGGCTCAGCGCTAAGGCGAATAGAACTGCAACAATACTTGAAGCAGAGGCAAAAAAAAAAGTTGTAAAGCTCAATGCCTTGTAATAAATAGTCTTGGCTGTAAAGGTTAAAGAAACAATCTCTCTTCTTGTTTGGTGGAAAGAGCTAAGTGAATTTCCTAAGTGATCAGTTTTGAAATCCCAAATTGAAGGAAGAGGTATTACAAAACGTGCAAACAACAAAACCTAATATTTTGGAAATGAGTCCTGATTTTAAAAAAAAGAATAAAATTAAACAAAGACGACTTTTGGTTTAAATCTTTTATTCATATACAAAAACAGTTTCATGCATGCAGCAAATAACAATAATACACTTACTACAAGCCAGCTGTGCTTGTAAGAAGAAATATACATTTAAGAATATATAAAAAATAGCTAAAAATCACAAAACCGAAGTAAAATGGTAGAAACACATTATGTTGGTACAGCTATAGCATCAGCATTTTTCTTCACAACTCAGTGGCATACACTACATTCAAGTTGATATTCAGGATGCAGATAACTACTATTCAACATTTTCTCCTTTTTGAACTGCAAAATGGGACAGAAGCAGACTCCCAGCTAGTTGAAATCCCAAACCATTGATACAAACCACCATTTATGAACAAGTGCAAAAAGCTAAAAAACTGCATGCCAAATTAGTTAACAACTCAAAATTTTAGCATTAAAAAAACAGATCCAAATTTGTTACTTTGCTCCAAATAAGGGCAATGTATTTATTAAAGAAACTCTTACAAATGAATCAAAATTTAATTCTTATTTTCAAAATTTATGAAACTGATGTTATGTTACTGCTAATCAAGGTAAGAGAAACAGGAGCAAGCATTTTTCATAGGTTATGGGAATTAATTCAAAAAGAAAAAGTAGGCAGGAAAATTTTGGAAATAAAGCTATTTGAATGACTCAGAACTCATGTTTCAGTATGCTGGCTGTCAAATTAAGTATCACACATAGTTATAAAGGGCCGGATCAGAGACTCAGCCAAGAAGATGTATATATTAAACTAAAGACTCTACTGGAAAAGCTAAGATCTCATATCTGTCCATATAAGTAAACACATAATAGGAAAATTGATACAGATTCTGCTTTAACTGAATTTAATATTGCCGGAAGATGAATTTAGATCTGGGATGATAAATGTTCATTGACTAGCTACAACAGTAAATCAAAGTACACTGATATTGTACAGTCAGCAAAATATGCCAATTATACATGTATCAAGATTTAATAAGACAAGCTAATTTTTAAGTAAAGCCTCTAACTAACTCATCAATCTAGTAAACTGATAACTCTGAATTCTCATGGATAGGATTTTATGTTTAACATTGTTAAAACCCAAATAGCATATCCAGTTCTAGTGACTTAGCTCTACTGTATTTTTCAGTAGAACATACATACTTTACTGTACCCAATAAGAAAGTCAGAAGAGTATTTCAGAGAGAAAAAAATTAGACAAACACCCTTACTAAAAATCAAACAGGTGTTAGAGAGCCAAGAAATGTTACTATTCTGTAGAACTTGGATGAGTAAGAGGAGGAAAGATTATCCTACCAATGCTTTTAGACCTGGCAAAAATAAAGATTATAAGGCAGACATTATAATGTACAACGTAATAATTTTTACTGCTACTAGCATTGCATTACGTTTGCATCCTTCCTGTCTACAAAATTAAATACCTACAGTTGTTGAACTGATGCGCTTGTTCAAGGTGTACCAAGACAACATTTCCATATATAGAAACATATACATAGAAATACACCATCATATATAGAAAAACACCATCTCACTTGCCTCATGAATGAAGCATCTTACGTAGGAAAATGAGCTAGTGAGAAGGAAGGAGGACATAATTTCTTAATAAGTACCGGGATAAGAACCAACACAGTAATGGAAAGTAATGAACTGAAGATAACATTGGTGTTATGTGAATATTTGTTCACTAGTAGCTATTAAAAATACTTATATCTGTTTAGTAAAAATCAGTCATCCTTTTCCTCTTGGCAAAAATAGTATAAGCACCATTTGAACAAAAAAAATATAAAAATCTTAATTTTAATAAATTTGAGATCTCAAAAAAAAAAAAAAATTGGTCATACGAAGCTGCTTAAACACACACAATTACATAGAAGTCATTTCAGATTTTCAGAGCAAATTGCTGGCAGACATGTTAAAATTTTACCTCAACTATATACAAGTAGTAAGTAGCATACTTACCCACCCACAAAGCAGAGGATATAAAATGCAAAGTAAAATATAGCGAAGGGTCCAAATGTTATTAGAAAAAGCACAACACCAAGACTTCCCCATCCCCATATGGAAAGACTGGTCTGCAAATAAGAACACATAGGAAAAGAGTCATTAATACATGCACAGCTTGGAAACCTCCAAAGCAGTATTTGTAGTTACTCGAAATGTTGATACATTTTAACTAGGCAGGAAATAGATGTATTCTCCATGAAATAGAAACTTGTTACAATAAGTTAGCAGTTCAACTTAGCCAACATTTTCTTTAAAATATTGCTTCCTATTTCTCAACACAGATGTAGCTATCACCCTTAAAAATGCTTTTGCTTCCTAAAACACATTCTTCCTACAAAGTTCTCCACTACTTCAAAAAGAAAAAACAAACCCAAACCAACCAACAGAACAGGAAAATAACATTTAAATATGACTGCTTTAAAATCCTGAAATTTAAAGTGAAAAAGATGACAGAAATCCTGGATTAACAAGGAAGGAAGAAAAATGCTGTTTTGAAAGTACTTCATGTAGCTGAAGTCATCTCCAAGAGCAGCTGTGGGTTTGGTGGATTTTAGGGCTGGTGTGTCACATAACTCACCCATAAAACAGCCCGAATGGGATGCAGGTTATTGTGCTGTTATATGTTGCAGTGCAAGAACCTTAACATAGAAATATGTACACACATACATACGTGTTTGTGTGTGTATGCATGCATGCACATGTAACAAAAAAGCAACATAGGGACAACCTGACTGCACTGAGCTATTGCAGTCTTGGACTTCCACAATGCTGCAATGCAGCCAACAAAGATTATATAATGTTAATTCATTCTATTCTATAGTTCAATAAGGAGAGTGTGCTTCAGCCAAATCCCAAAAGTGTGAAACTGAAGTGATGAGAATTTTTAGACCATGAAAACTGTTCCAGCTCTAAGGTTTTCAACTTTTCTATTTTTTTTTTGTTTAATTTACACCTTTCCTGCCACTGATCAAATGACACCCTGATGGAAACACAGACAACTGCAATGTCAACAAGTAACACTACGAAAGTATTTAAATAAACTTGTCTTACAGTTTGACATTTAGAAAACAAGCAAAGATCTAGCAGGGAGCTCTTCCTTAGTTTTTAATGTGAGGGATGGGGGGCACCTGCCTACATTTCTTATTTCTCCAAAGAGAAATTTCAGCTCTTTCTCTGAGGCACAGAACTGAGAAAAAACTACATAATGACAAAAAAAAGTTTTAAGAATCCTACAAACAATGAAAAGTAATCTAATTCAGCTATATATAATAAGAAAGTGGCAGAAGCTCTCATTATCTGTCTACATTCTAACAAACAAAGATGAGTCCTCAAATTCATGCCCTCAGAAATGTACACATTTTGAAACCTCTACAGAGTACTAAACACAACAACAAGATGTGCACACAGAACATAACATTTAATCATGATCTTCTTATATCAAAATATCAGTACATTTAATAGCACAATTCAAAAAAAATGAAGTTCTAAATATGGGATAAGGACTCTAAATGACTTAACAAAACTTAATTAACAAGATAGCGGGATGCATGTTCAGAGATGGGTGAATGCATAATTAACAAAGAAAGTTCCATAACAGATAGAACAGTGACCTTTTGTCCTACACTCTAGCTCTGAAATTCAGCATATGGCTACAGAGATTCAAATCTCTTTTGGTATTTTAATACGATTTCTTAAAACTCAGACAACTCAACACACTGCAGTAAATACAACAGATACTGGCCCAATTCTTATACACTTTTGGTTGATAATTGAAGGATTTTGAGAGAGACATTCAAAAGGATGGAATGATCAGAACAGTTCAATTCAGTCTGACTGTAAATAAGGCTTCCTGCAACTTCGCGCTGCTTAAAATTTCCAGCAGTACAACTCCTGGGCAAAATTGAAAACTAAGTCTCCTTTGCCATATCAGAAAAAAGCAAAGAAAGTCCAACTACTACTTAAATATTTCTGTGCAACTAGTACTAATTAGTACTTTGTAGGAAGGAATATGGAACTAGTAGGATTATTTAAAAAAAAAAAAAAAATCAAAGCCCCCCACTTTAAACTTCTTTACAAATAAGCCGTATTTTAAAGACTAACAAATTTACTGACATTTTGTCTAGTCTTGCTGAATTAATTGTAGGGCGAATGTTTCTCACTTCTAGGAGAAAGCGCAAGCCTGTATCCTGTAGAGATGGCATAACAGCATTTAAGTAGCAGCTGCCCAAACCTTTTAAAAGACAAACTTCCAAACTGAACTGTCAAAGTATTGGTTACTGAATTTCAAGCAACTATGGTCAGCGACTCAGGACTGTAGAATTAATACAGGCCTTAATCCTGTAGTATCCACACGTATATAATGCATATACACACACACAGATGAAGGCTCTGCATTCCAGACAAGCAGTTGTTCCACCTCATTCGTTTTATCCACATTTGCTTACAATCACTTCAGATGCCATATGTTTACCTTGCCATCACTACATTCCCTTTTTCAAGCCTCAAAACCTACAAATACACTGCAAAAGTCTTTCTTTGTAAGGTCATACACATGAATGGCTAAAGCAGCACCACATAAGATTCAGTAGCCTTTTTTCCATGGTATAGAATTGCTTTAGCAAGATATTAAATGCAGAATAGAGTTGTCTGTAAATTGAAACAGCAGAGGCTTGATGCTGGTGACAGAATTAATGAGATATCACCTCTTAATGACACCTACTTTTTTTAGTAGGTGTATGGAAACTGTTGAGTCACAGCCACTGATTGATCACCTGAGGCAAGGACTGAGCCAGCCATGGGAGCACAGGTGAAGGCAATTCAGCTGTGTGACTGGAAGGGGTGGAGCCTGGCTGCACCTCTCCTAGGACCCCACTTAACTGCTGACTGCCACTAGGAAAGATCTCTTTCTGGAGATTCCTCCTTTTGGAATTTTCTACTGCAAGCCTACAACACGGGTGAGCATTTCACTTTTGATCATCTCTTTCCACCACAATAATCTTTCTAACTATAAACATGTAAAATACCATCCTAACCCCACCGCTCTTCTAACTGCACATTTGTTAATTGTACAATAGGCTTTTTCAATGTTTCCCACTGTAGGTTGTTTTTCCTCTTCACAATACACAGACACTAAAAGAAACACATTAAAAATCTGCTTTCTTACATTCCTCTGCTTTTCTTTGGCTTTTGCTGTCTACTAATTAACACCACATTCTGATGGTTCCTGTTGCACATTGCTATTGGCTGACGCAGCAGAGCTGACTGATTCATCACCATTCACACAGGATCTTGTGTAAATCCACAGAATTCACTACCTTGAAGCTGTGTGCAGTTTATAGGCTAGACAGACATGTGGTATTATAGCTTACTGCTCATGAATTAGCAAGATTATTTTGCAGGCAAGTCAGCAGGAGCATGGCAAGGATTTAATGTAGCAGCCATAACAGCAATGAACCACTCCAATAACTAATTGCCTTTCTGAAGTAGTTTCAGTAGGCTTCTCCTTCACATAATCCAGCAGACAAGCTGTCAGAGCTTTGCCTCTAACCCATCTTTAAGCAAAACCCTCAGCCCTGATACTGCTTTCACTGCAAATACGCAGTGAGGAAAGTACAGCTGTGCTACGCTTGGACTCAAAACCGGTGCTGCCAATTCTTGTTTGCAACAGCAACTGACAGAAGTGTTTCTCCTTTCATGCAAAAACAGCCCCAGGTGTCCCCTCTGACAGCTGCTCCTTTTCTCCCAGCTCTCTCCTTGCCCCCCAAGCAGCCACGCTCCTACCCCCACAGGTCCAGGCACCCCTGCCCTCTCACTCCTGCTGGAACCCAAGCACCTCACTCTTTACACTTGACCTTGCAGACCAAGAATAACTGTACTTGTGCTGCTACGTCTGGGGACAGGGCAGGGAGAAAGAAAGAACAGCAAGATAGAAAGGAATCAGGAATCATCTACTGCTGCATCTTAAGCTTCAGCAAAGAACTCTGAAGTCTTACAGCTGCAGCATTCAAAGAGCCATTTTGGATGCTGTACCACTGCTGCTGACCACCCTTTGTGACTGCTTTCATGCTGAAGTTCTGCCACATAATATTGTGGACTCTAAAGAAAATTGCACTTCCTCACCCATGGTTCTTTCACTGTGTATATCCAACTGCATTTGTCTGGTAGCAATGTTTAAATGGCAGCAGCTGTTAAGTTCCCTAGCCAGACATTGATAAGCAAACTAGTCTTTGCTCTTTGGGCACTTAACATTTATTTTTTCTCTTCTTTTTTTCTTAATATGATGTTTGGCTAAATGTATTCAATGTCATCAGTGGGCTCACATTAAAAATTTGTTAAGAGTAGATGTCAAGTTTCATTTTCTGTTAATTCTACACATCTGCGCTTTCACTTCAATTTTAAGTGTAAATGGAATGTGTTCACGTACAGACCTTTCTATAATTAAGGCAAGTGTCATTTTTGTCAAGTGATTAAAAACATTATTTTAGGATTCAAATTACTGTGCCCTCACCAGCATGACAAGTAGGATGGGAAAGCAGTATCAACTGGAGTACCAATCTCATATTTAACAAGTACAAAATAAACCACTGATATCATGGTAGTTACTGTCTTACTATATGCTAAATCTTAGCAATCCAAGTGAAAGACAGGGTACAGGGAGTTTTGAAAAGACTTCTGCATATCACTTAGTGTCTTTGAACTCCTTCCACCTTATCTTTGTGCCCTTTGCCCACCTCAGACCAACTGGATAGATAAAGCAATATTCAAAAATCCATTCCTCTCTGACTATGTAAAAAAAAAAAAAAAAGAGTGAAGTCTTTTTCCTGCTGTAGTACTTATAAGAAAACTCTTGGGAAAGGCTTAAAGAGAAGGATTTTCATTAAGTCTGTTTTGCTTTTAATTGTTCTAAGCTCAGTAAGTTTGTTTTTCTTTCCCAAAATAAGCCTAAAATATTAGGGGACATAAACAAATCACCTTGTAAATACAGAACATTATGCAATGTTTTCAAAAGTTAGGCCCATTAAGTTTCTTCTGGTTAAGTGCAGAATTCTTGCTGATTCTTCCTGGTTAC